GGGGGAAGGCACGCTGTACAGATAAAGGGGAAGAGGGGGGATAACTAGAGGAGTATAGACCGTCAAGAAGTTGAACTTCTCCAGAGAAGCAGTACAGAAGAAGAAGAAGAAAAAGGGAAAGAGAACAAGAAACAAGAAATAAGGTATAGGAATAATAATAATAATAATGAATCGAAAGAAGGACAATAATAGGGGTGGGGGTGTTGTAGCAGTTAAACCTGTTAGTTACTCCGTAATCAAAGAAAGAGTCGTGCGTTTCCTCCTAGCGGCTCAAGGGGTAAAGCAACCAACAGTCACTCCATACCTTAACCTACCCAACTAACTGCTAGTTACAGGCTTACAGCTACTTACTACATAATAGTTACTAACTAGTGAATGTCGGGGATCCAGGCGTCTGACTCCCTATCTAATCAATAATAATACCGAAGAATCCACCCAGAGTCCAAGGCGGAGGACGATTTTTCTCTTCCAGGTAAGGTGAAGGGGTCTCTATCGAGTAATGATTGCCTACTAACTGCTGCGTACGGCTCTCTAGGATTATTATTATTGTTATTGTTTGTAGTAGGTGGTAGTTATTACTCAATACGTTCTAGAAAGGAGGAGGAGGAGTTGGGGGGAATAATATCATTGGGTTCCCATTAACAGAACACTCCCAGCCTATAATAGACATTCTTCGTCATCTCGAGGCTGTCCAGCTCCACGCAGAACGCCTCGCCAAACACGCTAACAGCGAACCAGTTGACCCTGTTTCATTATACGACTTGACAAACCATAAGATGAGATCATGGAGTGGATGGTGAGATGAATGGATCGGTAGATGTGGATATCGAGGCTCTAGAGTACGGAGATATGGAGCACATCATAATTACGGAGTACAAGAAGAGACAGTGCAAAAGATAAAAAGATAATCAAGGCTCCTCGCCAAAAGGATGGTTGAACTTCAGCAGCCCATTCAGTCCGCCAACCCATCCTTCATGCGCTTCCCCGCCAATGGTCCTCCGCATCACGCAAGGCACGCCCCCATGCCAGTCGTTCTCACCGCGTCGCATCTCCTCGTCCCACACCCGGACCTCCATCCCCACGGTCATGCCGCGGCCGATATTGATTCCATCGATGCTCACCTCCAGCTCGCGCCCGCGGTTCTTCTCGCTGAGCCGCAGGGTCACCGGGGTGCTCGTCGGCAGGACGAGCGGCCGGAAGCTCAGGCTGCGCGCGCAGATGGGCGTCAGCAGCAACGAGGGCACCAGCGGGTGCACGATGCTACCTCCGCTGCTTAAGCTGTAGGCCGTGCTGCCCGTCGGCGTCGAGATGATGACCCCGTCGGCCACCGCCTCCGTTAGGAAGCGTCCGCCTACAAAGATGTCTACAATTGCCAAGTGCGGTTCCTTACCGCGGTGGATGAGCACTTCGTTCATCGCGTAGATGCCCGGGTGCTCGGCCTGGACCGCGGGGAGTCGTGACCCGTCATTCGGGTGGACGGGCGCACCGTCGCGCGTGAACACACCGAGCTTGAGTCGATTCCGCATCAGAATCCGGGCGCCGCGGGTCGAGCCCATCGACTTGCCCCGGATGGATGACCACCCTGTCGGCCCCATCTCGGACTCGACCCGTTCATCACTAGAGGTGGGCCGAGGACAGTCCAGGACCATCGTTCGATCGCCTACCCCGGCGCCGGACATGTAGACCTCCCGAAAAGCACGCTTGTACTCTGCAAATTTCCACTCGCTCAGGAAACCCAGAGTGCCCATGCTGAAGGACAGCACGGGCGGCACATTGTAGCAGGTCGCAAAGAACGAGGCGGCCCGGAGAATCGTTCCGTCTCCGCCAAAAGTGACAACCAGATCTACCTTCTCATGCACTGCAACTGGGAGCTGCTCGTCGGCAGTAGATGTATAAACAGGAGTGGAAAGTGTCTGGTGCACTTCGGCGGCGGTATGTGGCTCGAGAACGAGAGAGATGGAAGGGTATGTGCTTGTGATATGACTAGGGCCAGGATTAGAAGCTACTCCACCATGGGGGTTCTCCTTCTCTCTCTCACCTAGCAAATTCCACAAGCGACTCGGTCACTGAGGGTTCACCATCTTTTTTCACAAGCAGGATGTTCCGAGGAGGTGCCGGCCATTCAAGACACAGGAGGTCGCCATCACGACATTCTAATCACAAGAAGTCGGCGTCAGCAACTAATAGGACGTATGGCTTGTAGGCACGGATTGACGCACACCTTGGTATCTAGGAGATAGACGCGGTTCCAACGCTGAAATGTCTCTGATCACGCTCCAGCGTGACGAGGCGGAAAAGCTGCGTCTGAAGAGCGGACGCCAGAACCGCCTGGGGCTGATCTTGGACACTCGCGGCAGCATTATTGAAAGACTACCTACAACACATCAGCAGGGGTTCAGAGAAACAGAACAGCAGAAAGAATAGACAGATAACCATACAATTATGTTTGATAACTCGGGTTGTCCTCACCTGCCATCTTCCTGGGACAACCACCTATCAAGTGACAGACACCTAGCTGATGCAGCACTTTATAGCAGATATTGAGGAACGTCTCATATAGACAACATGAAAAGTGTTAGAGATAGAGTAATAGTAATAAATCAAATAATAGCTGAAGCAGTTCTGTATAGCACTCCAGAGCTCTTCCGAGATAAAGCGAATCTCACCGCCCTGGAAATCCAAAACACGGCTGCGTAAGATACAATACATAACATACCGAGGTAACTTACGACGTCATCTGACGCTGCCTGGGGGTTTTCTATATGATTGCTGCTCTCCGTGGGATGCCGAGTTGAGGCTGATAGTGTTGTCGTGTCTCTCGCTCAGTTGCCTCAGCTGGGTGAGACGACTCCCTTCAGCTCCTTTGCCCCCAAATTCGAAGTCCGAATATTCTTAAATACCTCTACCCTTTATTTTTATGTTGGTTATTGAGCAGTAACTATTGGTGAGCAAGCAGCATTCCTCTCCCAAAGCCATTGTGTCACCGCTTTTTGTTTATTTATTCTATCTACCCCGCTACCGAGCAGGCAGACGGATTGCCCTCGCAAGCTTTAATATATAGCTGATTTCTGACCGAGAAAGTCCAGGCGTACTTTACTCTGATTTGAGAGGTGATAAGACGTTTTCCTCCCCCAAGACAAGACCGTGGAATCCCTGGCTATGGATCAGTCCGAGCTCCGGCAGCGAGCGAAACCCACACAGCAGGATGAGCAGCAGGCCGCAATTCCCGAGAGAGAAGCAGAGCAGCGTGTGAAGCATGGCGTTCCAATGCAGGTCTTTCGGACGATATGTCTGGCGGCATGGTTCAATTGCTGTGCGGTGGTCATTGTGGTCACACAGATGATTGGTGCGCCGCTGTACCTGATCAACAGGCCATGGTACTACAGCTACATGGCGTTGACGAAGGAGTCGTTCGGGCTGGTGATTACCGCGCTGACGCAGTGGGGGTGTCCGACGCTGGTGCGCGTCAGTGGGGACGAGAGTGTGCGCGGACAGCTTCATTTGACGCAGGAGGGATCGCTCAAGCTCGATTTTCCGAAACGTCAGGTTCTGATCGCCAACCATCAGGTCTATACGGACTGGATCTACCTGTGGTGGGCTGCCTATTCGAACGGGATGCACGGGCGTTTGTTTATAATCCTCAAGGAATCCCTCAAGTATATTCCCATCTTGGGACAGGGTATGATGTTCTACGGCTTCATTTTCATGGCCCGCAAGTGGACGTCGGATAAGCCAAGGCTGCAGCATCGCCTGGAGAAGCTCAAGACCCAACATGCCGGGTCCAACCCGGCCTCGCCAGAGTACGATCCGATGTGGCTTTTGATGTTTCCCGAGGGAACCAATCTCTCCATCAACACCAAGAACCGAAGCGATGCATTTGGGAAGAAACAGGGCATTCCTTCCCCTAAACACATTCTTCTTCCCCGGTCAACCGGGCTTTTATTCTGCTTACAGCAGTTGAAGGGGACAGTCAAGTGGGTATATGACTGCACGATTGCATACGAAGGGCCACCGTAAGTTTCTCTCTGCCCCTGCAACCGATCCTTCTTCCCAAGTGACTAACCGTTTTTCCCCCTTTGCTTCTGTTTAGGAAAGGAAGCTATCCCGACAAGTACTTCACGCTCCGGTCCACGTACATCCAGGGACGACCCCCAACGTCTGTGAACATGCACTGGCGGCGGTTCGCCATTGAGGATATCCCCCTTGATGACCAAGAAGCGTTTGACGAATGGCTTCGAGCACGCTGGACTGAGAAGGATCAGCTGCTGGAGGAATGCTTTGAAACAGGACGATTCCCCTCCCAACTCGCTGGCCATATAGATATCGACGGGGTACCTGACAAGCAGAAAGCTGCGGCATCTGCTGGATACATCGAGACCCCTGTTCGACTCTCACACTGGGCTGAAATCGGGCGCATCTTCATGGTTCTCGCCGGCATCGTGCTCTTGTGCAAAGTGCCCAAACTCCTCGGCTTTTTCGGGCATTGATACCTCTCTTCCTTCATAACTTCATTTTTAGATACCCTTTTATATACTTAGACCCATTACTTACGAAACAGGGAACTCAAGAGTGGATTTTTAGGAGTCACTTTCGGGGGTATTCTTACCATACATGGTACCTAGTATTACTTCAACAGAGGATGAGCCTATTGTTATGAAACAAATATTAAATATAATACAATCCTCCCTCAGCCACTCGATCAATAACTTCAATTTTCTCGACAATTAACTGTGAATCATAATGTATATAGAAACAAATTGTCCATAGTCAAGTAAACTCATACAAGCCTCGAGATGTGGCGCTGTGGCGGTGAGTCTCTTGCAGGCCAGCCTTAATAAATCCGCCTCACACCTTTTGCTTACCTGGACGAGCTTCGAGATTTCGTCCAAACATTGCGGCCACACCGGGAGCCGTCTGGTGTTTGTGCTTGAAAACTTCATCATCGTCAAATGAGCCAGAGCTACTCGGTCGGAATATGATGCGCTGAGCTCCTGCCGGCCCTACCACCTTCTCCAGCTTCCTCGCAAACACCCGTCGCGTCCTGGGGGACCACCTCAACCAACCTACACCAGCTCCACGACTGTCCACTCCGAGACCCCGGCACCATGGCGCCCTTGCACAATGGCTACGACAGCGTCCAGAACGGTGATGCCGTTCCACTGACGGGGCCAACGACCGCCCCGCGCTTCTCCGACATCCCTACTGCGATTGACATCCCGGCGTCCACCTTCGATAGCGAGGTTGAGGTCAGCCTCGAGGATCTGCCCGACGACCCAACGGAACTGTGCACACTGTTGGAGAATGAAAAGGCGGCGAAAAACTTCTGGGTCATCATCGCACTGGCGTATGCAAAGCAGAACCAGCTCGACCACGCCCTCGACATCCTCAACAAAGGCCTGTCCTCGGTTGCTCATGGAGCCGTCAAAGAGAAACTTGGCCTCTTGGGCTGGATCTGCTGGCTGTACATGCTGAAAAGTCGGAATGCCCCCCGCATTGCCCCCGAGGTGGAGCCGTATTCGGCGTCGAAGACCAAAGAACACTACCTCCAGCTTGCAACGTCTACCTTGAACGAAGCATCCCGCTTGAACCCGGCCTACCCTCCGCTGTTCCTCGCGCGCGGTGTCCTTTCGTTGCTCCGTGCCTCGCTCTACCCTCCCAAGCCTGTTCGGGCCGGAGCCGTCGATACATCTGAGCGAGTGGAATCATTGCGGCAGGCCCTGAAATGCTTTGACGAGTCCTCCAAGGCCTTTGGAGGTCGGAACATCATGGCAATTCTTGGCCGGGCTAGGGCTCTGTATCTCTTAGGCAGGTATGCAGAGGCGCTCGAGGGCTACCAAAGGGCACTCATGAAGATGCCTGGTCTTACCGACCCCGACCCTCGAATCGGTATCGGCTGCTGTTATTGGCAACTGGGCTTCAAGGATCAGGCAAAAATTGCATGGGAGAGAGCCTTGGCTCTGGTAAGTCGATCCATTTTTATTTTTCCCCCCAACCTACCTCATCCACATGAGACTGATGTTTCTCTTTTATTACAGAATCCCGAATCTAAAGTCGCCAATATCCTTCTCGCCATATATTACCTCTATGATAGCTCGCGCCATGCAACTACGGATCCTGCTTTCGGCTCATTGTACAAGGTGGCCATGACCCAGTATACACAAAAGGCATTCAAGATCGACAAGGAATACCCCATGACTTGCGCCCTGTTCGGTGGATATTTCCTTCTGCGAAAGTCCTACTCAACCGTTGAATCGTTGGCGCGCAAGGCTATAGAGCAGACAGACGTCATGTCTATCGCTAGTGATGGCTGGTATTTGTTGGCTCGGAAGGCCCACTACGAGAATGACAGCGCCCGGGCAGCCGAGTTCTACAACCGCTCCGACCAAGCCAGAGGCGGCAGCGACCAAGGCTATCTCCCGGCCAAGTTCGGCTCAGTCCAGATGCAGATCGCCAACAAGGACTATGATGGCGCCAAATTCAAGCTCGAGAAGATCATTCAGCAGACCAAGAATTCCGAGTGCATGATGTTGCTCGGTGCCCTCATTGCCGAGGAGATTTTCGCGGCGCAGGCGAGCGGCAATAAAGAGGACAGGTCCGCCGACGCTAAGAAGGCTGTCCATCTGCTCGAATCGGTGCGGTCCTACTGGAAGGAGGAAAAGAAGGCCATCTCGCCTGACGAGTCGGTATTGGTCTATCTGTCTCGGTTATATGAGATTGTAGCGCCGGAGAAGAGCATGCAGTGCTTGACTCAACTCGAAAAAATGCAGCTCGCTCAGGTCCCCGAGGATGAACGACCCGAAGGCCTCAAGGAGGGCGAGGAGCTCGCTGCCGCCCTCCGCGAGCATCTGCCCCCGCAGCTGCTGAACAATATCGGATGCTTCCTTTACCAAGCGGAGAAGGTCGAGCAGGCCAAGACTATGTTCCAAACAGCTCTCAACGCCTGCACGAAATCGCAGGAGAAGGAGCAGGAGAATGACACGGATGCGCTAATCACGACCATCAGCTACAACCTCGGTCGCACCTACGAGGCTGCGGATCTGCCCGAGGAAGCGAAAAAGTCCTACGAGAGCCTCCTAGCACGGCACAAAGACTATACGGACGCGAATGCGCGCCTGACATATATCGCCCTCCGGCAGAGCCCTACGGACGAAGGCCCTAAGAAGATGGCAAAACTGTATGAAACTGATTCGATGAACCTCGAAGTTCGGGCGCTGTTTGGATGGTATCTCAGCAAGTCCAAGAAACGAGTGTCGAATTTGGCGGAGGACCACGAACAGCGGCACTACAAGCACACCCTGCAGTACTACGACAAGCACGACCGATATGCGCTTACGGGGATGGGCAATGTGCATCTCCTTACCGCCCGAGACATGAGGCGCGATACCGACCAGGACAAGGAGAAGCGGCGCAAGATGTACGAGCGGGCGGTGGAGTTCTTCGACAAGGCTCTCCAGCTGGATCCCAGGAACGCGTATGCCGCGCAGGGCATCGCCATCGCGCTCGTGGACGACAAGAAGGATTACAGCACCGCAGTCCATATCTTCTCTAAGGTGCGTGACACCCTGAAGGACGCCAGCGTGTACCTCAACCTCGGCCATGTGTATGCCGAGCTGCGGCAATACTCGCGGTCAATCGAGCACTACGAAGCGGCGCTGGCCAAGGACCGTGCCCGCGACACACAGATTCTCGCTTGCCTGGGCCGCGTGTGGCTATCCAAGGGTAAGCACGAGCAGAGCCTGGCCGCGATGAAGACCGCGCTGGACTATGCGAAGCGCGCTCGGGCCGTGGCTCCAGAGCAGGTGCATCTGGACTTCAACGTGGCCTTTGTCGAGACGCAGATCGCCCTGCTAGCATACAGCCTGCCGGAGACGCAGAAGACGGCGCAGGACGTGGAGGAGGCAATCGAGGGCCATGAGGAGGCGGTCGCGACCTTTGACCGGATCGCCGGCGCCAAGAACCCGCCGTACCCGAAGGAAGCTCTTGAGCTGCGCGCCAACATGGGCCGTAACACGATCACCAAGCAGCTGGAGCGGGCGCTGCAGAACCAGCGCGAGTATGAGGAGAAGAACGCCGCGAAGCTGCAGCAGGCTCGGGAGGCGCGCGAGGCCGAGCAACGGCGCCGCGAGGAGGAAGTCCGCAAGGTGCAGGAGGCGGAGCAGGAGCGCAAGAAGAAGATCGCCGAAGAGCGCCAGCGCATGGTTGAGGAAGCCCAGCGGCTTGCGGAGCAGCGGGCCGCCACAGAACGGGCCCTCGAGGACATGGATCGCTCGACCGACGAGGAAACGGGCGATAAGACGCCTGCTGCCAAGCGACGCAGCAAGAAGCAGCAGCAGCAGCAGCAGCATGCTTCCAAACGGAAGAAGAAGACCGAGGACCACAGCGACGAAGAGGACGACGGCGAAGGCGGGGACGAGAGCAAAGACGCCGAGAGCGACACCGAGCCCGCGCCCAAGAAACGCAGACGTCTCGAGCGCCGGCCTGGTGCCAAGTCGCGCGGCTCGAGCAAATACAAGAGCAGCGAGGTCATTGTCGACTCCGACACGGAGGATGGCGACGACCACCACCAGACTGCTGCGGCATCGGACCACGACGAGGAAATGCGCGACGGTCCTCTACCTGACGATGAAGATGATGAGGGGATTCCCCAACCGCGTCGGGGTAAAGTCACTCGCCGAATTGCAGATGACGATGACGACGACGAAGAAGAAGAGCAACAAGAAGAAGAAGAAGAAGAAGAAGAAGTGCTCCCCCCCGCAGCTGCCGGTGATGAAGATGACGATGGGTTATTTGATGAAAAGTCTGGTGACGAGGATGGTGGTGAATAAGAAAGTCTTTTCTTCTTTTTTTTCTTTTCTCTTTTTGCTTTCCCTTGAATACCCTAACTATCTATCCCTCCCCCCCCATCTTTTTTCTTATCTTTTAATGCGTCAGGGATGTCATCTTGATTTCTATTGTATTGTATTTCCAACAAATGTAAGATCTATCCGGTTTGCATTGATTCTACTACATCCACCATCTTCTCTTCTCTAGTTGGTGGGTGAAAAGATTACTGGGCAGCAAGTGTATGCATACAGATATTAGATAGTTCATGGTACCATTTCTTGTTTCACTACTATATATTCATCTCTTCATATTGATTTGAATCAATTCGAAACCGGGGCATCTGCTGCCTCCACACCCGCCTTCCAGTGATACTGCGCACCAGGGTGGTCGGCCGGGAGACCCTTCTGTCCGGGAATCGCATAGGAGTTCTCGCGGAGGGTACCCCCCTTAACGGCGTAGTCGTCCCAGAAGAGACCGCGGCGACGTAGCTCCGGCAGGAGCATCTCGGCGATGTCAATGAAGGATTCCGGGTTGATCGCGGCAGACTAAACATATATGTTAGCATGGAAGATGCCCACTAAACTTCAAAGAGAAAGAAAGAGGGGGGGTGGAAGGAATTTCATACAAAGTTGAATCCATCCAGGTTGGCAAGTTCCACCCATCGCTCCAGCTCGTCGGCAACCTGCTCCGCCGTCCCAATGATGGTAGGACAGAGGCCACCGACAATGATCTGATGGGCCAGGGCAGTCTTGGTCCATTTCTTGACGCCGGGGAACGACTTGGACCAAGCCTCGGTGATCGATTTGATCGCGTTACTCTCCACCTCGCGCAGCTCCTCGTCTTCCCCGTACTTGCTGAGATCAATCCCCGTCCAGCCGCCGAACAGCGCCAGCGCACCGTCCACCGACCCCTGCTTCACGTACTCGCGATGCTTCTCCTGGGCTTCCTCCTCTGTGCGGCCTAGCACGGGGCAAACCAGCGCGACGCACTTGAGATGAGCTGGGTCGCGGCCGAATTTTTCCTGCGCCAGCTGGCGGGTTTCCGCGATGTTCGAAGCGACTGCACCAGGTGAAGGGCCCGAAACGAAAATCACCTCAGCGTGCTGCGCCGCAAAGGCCTTGCCGACCTTGGACGCGCCAGCTTGTAGCAGAAGAGGCGTCCGCTGGGGGCTTGGGTGGCAGATGTGTGGCCCGGGGACGTTGAAGTGTTCCCCGACATGGTTGATCTCCCGTACGCACGACGGATCGGTGAAGATGCCTGACTGTGGACTATTGCGGACCGCGTCATCGCGCCAGGAGGACTCTAGGAGCTTATACATGACCTGCATGTACTCTTCCGCGATGACATAGCGTTGGTCATGCTGAAAAGTCCTGTTAGCGGCGTTCTTGCGAGGTGGGAAACTTGAATCATATAGACGTACCTCAACTTGCTTGGTGAGACCAAAGTTGCGAGCCGCCGAGTCCAAGTAACCGGTCACAATCTAGGAGACAAGAAAAAAAAAAAAAGAGGGTCAGAACGCAGATGCCTGATCTAGGTTCTTGCTGACTTACATTCCAGCCGAGTCTACAGGGTATCGTCAGTACTAGGTACGGCACTTGCATTGAGTAAAAGCAATCTTACCGGCCTTGCGTCAAATGATCCACGGTCGATAGTCTTCTCGCCAAATGGTAGGGATGTTCAAAGGTTGTCGCCACCGTTACACTGAACCCAAGACTCTCCGTAACTGCAGCCATGGCAGAGATGACCGACAAGGGCTCGATATTTGGGAATTGGGACCCCGTCAGGATGCATGGATCCAGATTATGGGGTCCTTTGTAAATCTCATAACCACCGAGAGCATCCGCAATGAAGATGCCATGGAACTTGGCTGCCTCGAGGGTTTGGGCGAGCTTAACCCAGAACTTGAGGTCGTCGAATCGCGAGGATTGATCGGCGGGGTTGCGCCAGAGACCGGGAGAAAACCCGCTAGCTGGTAATCAAATTATCAACACTGGAAGCAGAGCCAACTGGCCTAAAGTGGGGGGGGGGGGGGGGGGGGGGTAGCTGGACTTACGAGACATGAGCACCGCAGCATTTATGATGAGTTTCTTGCGAGAGGGTTCTTCTGGGTTTGCCATCTTGGGGGGGGAAAAAACACGAGGATTTCGATGGTACAATCTGAACTGAGAAGAGGCGAGGAACGAGGGGTAGAGGAAGAGGGGCAGAGGATAAGAGGGCGAATGCCTTTTTATAACACGCGTAATCGACCGTCTTCCTTATTCCATATCTAGGTCGACATGAGGCGCTTGCTTAAGAAACTAATGTGCCCACACCAATTGGGACAGCATTTTGCTCCTGGAATAGTAGGAGGAGAGGGGCCCGGGGGGGAGGAGGGGAGAAGCGTAGACGCCGTTGCCAGCTTCATTAGCTAGCCCCGTTTATCGGCGCGTTATTCGTGAATTTTACGGAGTAAACTGTGATATGCCGGATTCTGCAGGGATTAGACATTATGCTGGAGAGTTTGATCGAGAGATAGAACTAATCAATTTCACCAGGAAAACCGTTGAAAATCCGCTGCCCCCCCCCCGGGGCTTGTAGACCGTTTCCCTGCATATCATTTGATTATCAGAACCCCGATATTCTTAACCCGACCGTTTTAGCGAGTGCTTATTGATCAGTTTGTATAGGGAATTTTGTAGCCATAGTAGGTTGCCACGTTGTCAGGGATTGTAGTTCTAGATCTTGGTCGAGAGACTTGAGCAGACTGCCAAGCTAGGAACAAGGCTTCCGGTCTGACAACGGTCGCCACAAGAGTAGATAGAAGACGGCGGCATTGGTTTCAGGGTTAAGCCTTCAGAAATACTATAGAAAAACAAGTTAGCAGGAGACAACAAATTCGGCTATATCAGCTAACGGTAAATTTCCAATCCCTGGTTCACTGAAAGATGGAGAGTTGTACCTCAGGACGATTGCATTATCCGTAGCAATCATAATTCGTTATCTGCGTCTCGGCCGGGATTCGGATCGACGCCCGGGGGGGGGGTTATGGGAGTTTCGAGGTTCTTTTTGAGTCCCTGCTGTTCCAGGTTGCAATCTGTCGGAAACAATCAGTGGTTTCCAGCTTGTTAGATCGGGGTTGCGAGTCATAAGGTACAGCGTGGGATCAACCATCAGACTCCCGACATGGCGGTTCCTTCCCTTCCCTAATCAATGGTGGCAGGTGCTCGATATCTGCCCTAACACCGTGCCCTAACATCCGCTTTTAGACATCACGTGGTTGGAATGAAGCGGCAGCTGCGGCAGCCCCCAACTGAGCCAATAATAGCATCATGGCACCATCCATCAGCAAGTAATCTTCTGTCTGCCTCCCGTCGGACGGATGGATGGGGGGGGGGGGGCTCTCAGGGGAAACGGCATCATGCGATGGGTGAGGCAGTACGAGTTAGTTCAAAAGCAGCAATCGCATCTACTACTATTATTAGACCACGCCTGATAACTACGTGTCTAGGTATTACCAACTGCTGACTGATTCTATAGATCTAGGTTAATAGTGCTCCGTAGATTCGTACGGAGTAAATCTAGAGCAGGACGTAGGACGTAGGTAGGAGGTACCGGGTACTCCATACTCCGTATTCGTAAGATGGAGCAGTATGTACCTTGTACCATGTAGTATGTACCTTACCTAGGTACCTAACCTCCTAGGAACCATGCAGTATGCAGTATGTACTATGCAGTATGCAGGTCCTTGAGATTGTAATCACCAGTCAGTCGTGTTGGAGATATTGCAAAAAGGGCATGGGATACGAGGTTGAACGTGCGATCTTTGCTCCATTCACATAGAGGATGAAGTAATACCAGGGGGCGCGCAAGCCCACGCTACGCTGAAGGAGAGGAAGATCGACCTGCACGGCTAGATGACAGAAGTCACCACGATCCAGTGCTAATACTTTATTCCTCAACTAACTATTACTCGAGTCTCTGCTAGTCTCGACTCTAGGTTGACTCGAGTCGCTTGGCTCTTGGCCCCTTGTTTTTCTTAGAGAATCCCTCCGTACGCTTCCTTGCAGTGGGTCTCCTTCTGCGATCCTTTAGGTACCTAAGGTACGGAGATACCAAATTCCAACTAGTAACTGGTTAGTACGGAGTAGTTTTCACCCTGTCGAGGTTCTAGGCAAGGTGATCGTCAGGAGTTCACACTTTCTACCGAGTTTCATGCTTTGCATTTCCCAGAACATGTCATTCGTCTTGCCGATCCCAGAATAAGTTTTTCTTCTTTCTTTCTTTCTTTCTTTTTTTTTTTTTTTAGCAAAACCTCTTTCCCCCTTGCCCAGGTAACTACAGAATATCTCTATCTGGTACCTACACTGCCAAGGTAGGGCTTCGGAATCGTACCCATTGTCGGTTGCATTGAAGACCGCCAAGGAACCCATCTATCTTTGCCTTGTGTTCCATCTCTGCCTAGCTGTCACTAACTCGTTCCGGAGTTAGTTTTATTCTGAGGTGAAACGTGGATGAGGCATGACATCCGACGGGGCTCCGCAAGCTCTCGGAACGAAGGAAGAATGACAGCAACGGCGGATTTTGCCGAGTAGACCAGACGAACTATTCTTCATCTCGATAGTACGAGACAATTATATCAGCAGTATTACTCCATGAAATGAAAAAAAAAAAAAAAAACAATGACATCTAACGTTACCTGGGAGAGAGGATCACGAACCATTGCTGTGGAACAGTCTGTCCGCAGGGAATACCCAGGATTCGAGAAGGTGATGGAAACAATGCACATGCAGGATCCTCGGTAGACAGGTCGAGGGAGGAGTACACCCATCCTATCTGCCTTTCCGACTCGGTACTCTCGACACGTTCAAGTGACAAGGATGACTCGAGGCACATGGCTAGTACTACCGAGATTCAGATCTCAGTACATACTACATACAGTAAGTACTACATACCTAGTAGTCAGTACATATACACACACCAGATGGACGCAAGAATCCTCAAACGCGGGGTTTACAAGGCCACCTGGCTCTACTCCATACGTACCTTACTCCGTCCGTACCGAGAGTAGTGTAGTGTGCAGTAGTTCTCGGTCGCTTGAGATTCGATTAATTAAGTCCCCCTCTCCCCTCCCCTCTTCCCCCCTCTCGCCCCCAATCATCTAGATAGTATCATTGGCAAGGCCTCGAGCTCTGTCTGCTCTCCACTAGCTCAGCTACTACTTTGAACTTTCTCCGTAAGTACTTACGTAGTACTACATAGATATTTCAATATTTTGTGCAAGGATATGAATGCATATGTAGTAGACAAGACTCCACTGAGAAGGAAACCCTTGGTATGGGAATCACTAGTTAATGCAGGATCCAGTTCCAGTTCACTTGGATGCCGCTCAGAGAGACAAGTCGAATATCCAACTCTTCCTACCATCCCATTTTCCGAGATTCCGAAGACGGACCCGAGACCGATGTCCACTGCCAGTTGACTAGTTAAGTAGTATGTATGATGTAGTAGTAGTAGGTAGTTAACTAGTAGCTAGTAGGTACTAGGTAAGCCATCTCATCTTAAAAATTTCCGCGTTGTGCGTTGATTGCACGATCGGAGAGTTATTCTATGACGGCCTGCAGCTACTACCAGCCACATCATTTGGATCTGCAGTGGTTGTCACTAATAGCTGACAAAGTGCGCGCCGGTCTGTTCTATCTGGGCTTGTTCGGCTGTTCCAGTCTTCCGTACGGAGGAGTCCGTACGGCTGGAAGGGCTGACCTTGCAGTATCTTGGTACCTATTATTATTATTATGTAGTATTATTGTAGTAGTATACCAAGGTACCTAGTAGTTACTTATTAGTTATAGTTATTAATATTATTAGTTGGGTATTAGTTGGTTATTAGTCAGTCTTCAAACAAACTCATCCTCCGCCTGCCCATCATTTCTCTCTCCCCCACCGGGGCACCATCTTGCGATATCGAACAGTGGTGACGCTGGTGAGAAACTAGGGCCACGGCGCAGGGCCCCCGCTCCTTCGCGTGCGTGCTTTGGGGCTGCGCTCGATGAGAAAAAGGCTGACAGAATGTTGTAGTATACTCTTCTCTCCAGAGTATGATTCTGTGCATGGGCTTCTCTTACGCCAGCTGTGGTTCTTTCCCCCCCCTTTCACACCGACTCGAGAAGTATGTACTCCGTATAGTCTATACTGTGTAATCTCAGATCTGCATTGTTGTAAAATGGCCTGTCGGCTCCGATAGGCTGAATGCCTCCCGCTTGGCTGGATATCACTGGACCGCGGTCCCTGGGATATTTTGCTAGCTTGGCCAGTGAGAAGCCGCGGCTATGAACCGCGTCCCTTCCGGCCCATGGATCGAGGCTTCTTCGGCCAGTCTCCTCCACAATGGCTTGTGAACAACAATGATTGCGATTGTTAGTGCTCGCGTGCGTCTTGTTTACCATATTTCTATGTATGGAGTATGCTTCCCTTGAAGGGGGATGGGGGGGGCGAGGTCCGTAGAACTAACTTTCCCTCCTCCTGTAACGTAGGATTGGAGCTGAAAGTGTCAATAAATGGATAATACGATAAGAACAGAATAAGAAGAAAAAAAAAAACATAGAAAGAATAGGAAAAAGCAACCAGAGTCAAACCCGAGTGGTGGGCCTCACTGCGCTGAGACGGGACGTGTTTACGTACGTATCAGCCGTCAACCACCTCCTCGATATCGATGCGATCAGCAAGTTACACGGGAACTTTCATCTTGTCTGTGCAGAATTCCTACTTGTAGTTAGAACTCATGCGAACCGAAGATTTGCTTAGGCAGGAAGAGGGGGGGGGAAGCTCTCGCCTTGACGAGTACGAAGTTCCAAGTATCGCTCTGAACGCGTTCCTGACAGTCGAGATGGCAGGGATCACGCTCACTGGAGAGCAGCACCTGTATTTCCCTCATCGGTGTCAGGTCCGCGATGATCCTGACTACTCCGTACTCCGTTACTCGCAAACATGGTCACCCTGGCTTGGTGTCTCGGCGTGGTGGAGTAGCATCGTGCGAAAAAAGACGCTTATTTTCCAACGGCGTGGAACTCGAACGTGGGCTCCTTTTTTTTTGGAGACGAAGGTAAATGATGGTTATTTGATTACCGTAACAACAGGAGAGTCATAGTGAGTTCGTAGTCTCGTCGCATTTATTCTTATTTCTCCCGGGTCCAGCCCTGTTGCCCGAAATAAAACCGTTCCTGGGGGGCACTTTTGGGCTACGGCTAGTTGGAACATACGTACCTTCAAATCTGCGCTTGTTTCCCCCCTTGGACCCAGAGGCTAAAACCAAAACCACCACCACCCCCTCTCCTCGGTGTGGGCTGGACATGACTGTATCATTACTACTGTCCTCCATCTCCTCATCTGGACGGGTTGCTTAAACACTCGACCTGGGGGAGAGTGAGAGTGTGTGTTTATGTGGGTTATGTTGATTGACTTTTTACCTGTGTGAGGAGTTCACTCGTTCTACTTATCTATCTGTTGTGATTGATTCCCCCATTCTTTCAATAAAAAGAAAGAGTGAATGATTGATATTCTTGTTAAAGATACTTGATTAGGATTCTCTCTCTTCTCCCTCTCTTTCCCCCCGCCCTCTCTCTTTCTATCTCTCCTTTTTTTCTCTCTTTCTCGTGCATTTTGTTCCTCTTAAAGCCTATACCTTATATGGTGAGAGAACTGCACTGTCATGGTCTAGGAGCAATCAATTGATTTCCAGACTTCTTTCACTCCTTCTTTTCCTAGTCTACCACAGCCTTGCGAGGGCTTGGTTGACCAGCCATCATGCACGTCGGTGGCCTCCCCGTATCGTCAGTCCATCGGGCGGCTGCGACTCAATGGCCAGAGGAACGCGATCCTGGAGAGCGCCCCTCGACCAGAGGTTCGAATGAGCACTCGGACCATTCGGGCCACCTTCGATCAAGATCCACGGCACATACCCAAAGCCCGAAGCGGTTGTCTGTATTCAGCGCCCGGTCCCGAAGCAATACCACGACATCTACAACATCCTCGCGCAGGTCTCCGGTCTCGTCCATCACGTCAATCGACGCCTCCTCAATTCCGTCCACTCATGAGGAACGCACAGGCTCGGCCTTTGGTTCTCGCAATGATAAGCAAGAAAGTGTGACAAAGTCGATTCTCACTCGTGGAAGCCGCATTCTCCGTCGTCAAGGGAGCAAGTTCAATATTGTTGCCACACTGGATGAAGAAGACGAGGGGGACCGGGAAAGATCCAAATTCGAGGTGTCGGAGATCTTCAACCGCAGCCACAAGTCTCGGCAGACCCATGCCCGTAAGTACACAATCAATCGTGATTCGAATATGAATAGTCCCATCCGACTCACATATTTTGCAGATGAACAATTGAAGCGCCTGATCTCCGAGCCTTTTGATTTCCATCACCTCACACACACCAGTCCCTCGCAGTTTCAATCGTTGGACAGGGCTAGAGAGACGGATTTGGTCACCGAGTTCTCCGTCATTCGAGCCTCTCAGAGACCTGAAACAGCTCTCAAAGGCATCCGGGCGGAGAATCTTCACTCGCGAGAGTGTTCTTCCGAAGATTTGACAAAATATGGAGTCGCTACTCTAGGGGAGGAAGCATCTGTTGACCCTTCTGTTCCATTGAGCCCGAGCCGTGGGACCTTTGCTACCCGGAGAGATTCTGCTCGTGTAGTTGAGAACTTTTCGCGTCCTGGAACAAGGCATGTGAAATCTTTCCCCGCTCCTCCGAACACCTCCAAATTAGCAGCTTCTCCCGATATTCCGGAACCTGCCCCGCGTGTCATCGACGAAATTCTGGGTATGCGCGCACGACAGATATATCCTGAAGATGTTTATGCAACAGAGAAACCCGCGGGGGCAGCTCCTCTATCGCCTCTTAGCTTGGAAGCGATGATGTTTGTTGCCGATGAAGAACCTATTGGAACCGCTGCCTCTGACTGTGCCGGCACAACAAGGTCATCTCTGAATGCTCATCCTTCTGATTTGGAAGATGTTCCAGAAGAGGATGAGGTAACCTACTGGCATGACAGTCCTGAAGCCAATGTTCGGACTTCTCCATCACCTGTACCGACTCACTTGCGCAAACCTTCATTGCCACCGTCGATCTTGAAACCCAAGTCTCGCCTGTCGGTGTTTGTCGCAGATGAACTGTCGAAGAAATTTGAGTCACTTGGCTCACCTACTCTCCCCCAGTGTCGACTCTTTCAAGAGCCCTCTCCCAGCGGCTCGGAAGAATTCTCGGGCAAGTCGTCTGTTAATATGGACTCCTTTGAAAATATTTCCGAATGTTGGGATGATGATATCGACTATTGCTATGAGCATGCAGCCGAAGCAGACTGCGATTTTGACTGGCTTCGCGAATCTTTTGAAGAGCAAGAGCGTCCGGTCATCCAGGCCTCCAAAGTCGAGGCAACAGAGATGATGAAGAACGAGCAGCCCCGACTTCTGAATCCGATTCGTCTGGGGCCGTCAGATTTGCCCACATCAGACCTCGACCCCAGCCCAAACTCCGCGCGTTCTCCTCATACCGTCGAGACCCCATCCACCGGATACGAGCTCCAACTGGCTGCCGATGGTGAGGCTATCACTACCAATTATTACCAAACCGTGGCTTTGGGCAAGCAAATACCTCAGGAAACCCTGTACGAGGAGTTTTTGGAAGTTGACGGCGCATCTGATCGGCACTTTTCCTTCTGCTCCCCAGCCACGTTCCACTCGATCGAGCAACCTGTTTCGCCTCGGAGTAGTTTTTCTCCAATCAGCAAGTGCAACTCACAAGAGAGCTTCATGTTGTCGCGGGCTGCGTCCATTGTGCGAAAGCACCGTTCCTCAGTGTCTACTACCAGCGTGCCTGAATTAGTGCATAGCTCAACTAGTAGCCGAGAGTACATGATGCCCGAGTCAATGAGTTCCTTCGAGCAGCTGATTCCCCCAACACCTGCCTCTGGCCGTCCCACATCTATTCACCGTCAGACCAAGAGTCTGGCGCCAGATATTGAAAACCATATTATCTTCCGGAAAGGCAGCAATGCCAGCTTCGACACCACAGATATGGGCTCCTCGACTGCATCTTTGACTCACGACCGTGTACGATCGTCATCGGAGATTGAAGTGCGAGACCTGCATTCGGCGAGGCAACCATCGTCCCTTAAGGGAACAAGCCGCGGAAAAGGCAGAGCGTCGTACTCTCTCTTCCCCACATCTTGAGCAGCTACCTTGCCGTGGTTGGTGTTGACCGATCCCATTCCTGATCAAGGACATTCCCACCGTTTTAATATTGTATATCCATGCACACTTTGTGCATCGATGCAATCTACATCCCGGCCTTCCAAAACCCCCTCCCAACCTCTCATCAAACTAACATGACCTGACGACTTCCTATCTTTTAAACCTCGATTCATCTTTGTCTGCATCCTGTTGTCTTGCTCAAGCCCTGCTGGTCACGCCATGGTTTTCTTTTCTTTTCTTTTGGTCTCATGCTTTTTCAAATTTCATGTCATTCGCTTGTCCATACATATTGCATTTCTTAGCGACTGTTTCGGGAAAAAGGATGGTTGTTGGTCTTTCTGGCAAAATAAGTCCCTGCTGTGCTGCAAGTGTCATTACATTCGCTCTGAGTTTTATTTTCGGTGGTTTATTTTCTTTTTTCTTTTTTGTCTCATCAGTCATTTTTATCTGCTTCACACATATATAGACAGGGAGGGATTTGGGCACGCGTTACAGGGACTGATTGACGAATTTCCTCGTGGTTCCTGAAGGTGGAATCGCTCCATGATGCCTACCTGCGAAATCTGATCAAGATTAGTATTCTAATACATACCTTTGTATATCTAGAGAATTACATCCTTCTGATTTAGAAAGTAAACCTCATATCGTCGTTGTGGTCGTAGACTCGTAGTTGTTGAAGCTGAAAAGTCGTTGTGGCGGTGATGATAAAACGCGGTTTCATGGCCGGGCCTGGGCTAGGCGGAGAGAACTTATGCTGCCACTAAGCAAGCTCACTTTGGATTCTTCAATCTACCTCAAGACTCTACATGCGTTATGATCATTTTCACATTCTCCTTTTTTCGTACCTGAGCGTTATTTCTCTACTCTCTGCCTTCCCCTTCCCCCTGTTTACGTCGAGGCGAGCGCCTTCACGATGACGTCAAATGCGCTGGCTAAACGCCAGTCCGAAAATGCTCTGATGCCTCCTCCCCCGCCACCAAAACGTATCAAACGGCCTGCCACTGTGCTGGATGAGGATATCTATACGGACGCTCTGTCGCATATCATCGCTCGAGACTTCTTCCCTGGCCTGTTGGAGACGCAGGTCAAACAGGAGTATTTAGATGCGCTGGACTCGAAAGACAAAGAATGGATTGCGAGCGCAAGGAAAAAGCTACAAGAGAGCATAGGTGGCCGGGGGAAGGGAACTGGAACACGGAATACACCCAATACTCCTCGTTTGACACGCCCGACATCGACCGCCGGAGAGACACCGATAGCCTGGGGAGGAGAGACGCCCATGTCGGTTGCGTCGACGCCCACGACTGACACCGAAGAACGCAGAGGGACCCCCGATGTATCGAATATGAGTCTTATTTCATTCCAAGCGAAATATACAAGTGAAGACAACGAGTCATTCAATAAGCTGCTTGACAAGCAGAATCTGAAACGTCGGGCGAAACATGCCTATTTGTGGAACAACAACAAGATCCCTTCAGCTCGGCAGATTGCCTACCACAAGCAAGAAGCAAAACGCATCACTGAGCAGGGGCGGAACCCGGATTCTGAGAAGCAAGTGGCGATCAAGACCGACCTAGACGCACGCCCTGCCAATCCGGATTCCTGGAAGGTTCAGCCAGACAACTCGCTCATGTTCATCCCGCCTTCTATCGAAGATACCCATGAAACAATCCAACAACGGGCAGAAGCCTCGTCGCGGGCCGGGCCGAAGTGTGTGCTATACCAGAATACCAGGTTGCAGGCCGAGACTTCAGATGCCCACCACGGCGATACGGGTCCCGTGCCACCGTCGCCCTCCATCTCCGCGATCAAAGATGCCATCGCAGGACGGCCCCGCCATACAGATTCGGAAGCCGGGTATACGGGAGGCGAAACACCGCGAGTGAACGGCTACGCGTTTGTCGACGAGGATGAGCCTGAAGCAGAGCCTACAGAGCTTGATGAGAACGAGTCATTGGCTTTGGACCTGCGCTTGCTCGGTACGGGAGAAGACAGTACCCCGAACCCATTCCAGATTCCTAAAAACCGGCGGCGAGAAGATTTACATCATCGGATGGTAGATCGGGTTGCGCGGAATAAACGAGAAGAAAAAGCAGGCAGAGAGGACAAGACCCCCGTCCCACGGTTTCCCAGTAGTCCACGGCTAGATCTCGGCCTTCAATCTCCCAGGTCGCCTAGCGCAAAGACTCTGACGCCAGCGGCACAGAAGCTACTACAGCGCGTAGGCAGCACGCCTCGCCATGCAAGAAGTTCTGGGTCCTCTGGGTTGAAGAACGTGTGGACACCCACGCCGAAGCGGGCGAGGTAATATTATTCCTCATGGGACATAGATTTCCAAGACTTACGAAGCGGAGCTTTACTTATAGATTAATCATTTATTCAAGGTCCCTGATCTAGCCACGAACAAGCTGCTATAAATAAAAAGTATATACAAGAACCCAATGCTAAGACATAACTATAAACAGTTGAAAGCAAAACTCCCAAGAAAATCTATTCATGCGAAAGCAACCAATGAAAAAGCGTATGCCACTAATGCGGAAAACACGCCGAGCCATAAGTGTTGCCCGTGGAGAGCGAGCAGTCGCCAGCCCGCGCTAAGGTAGTATGCTGCGCCGAGGTAGCTACAAGTGATATCGCCGTCCGGGTCGCGCCAGCCGTACGAGGAATTGAGCCATTTGCCTGTGGGGCAGCCGAATCCTAGCGCGGAGGGACACTTGCGCACGAGGTCATAGCAGATGTCCTTGCAGGGGAGAATCTCCTTGTAAGGCCCCGGGCGGATCTCGGTGTCGATCAGCGGGTTGCGCGAGCCGTTGGTCGCCGGGTTCAGGCGTAGCGGGCTGTCCGCGGGGATGGAGCTGCCGTTGAGAAAAGGCTGGCCCGCGTTGCGGACCTGGAGGTACGTGAGGTTGCTGGAGAAGTCGTAGCAGCGTGGGATGCTGACCGCGCACAGCCACTCCTTGTATGCCGCCGCGCAGTCATCGCAGGTGACAGCGAGTGAAAACATTGATTCTGCGCTAGTGTTGCACTGGATCTGGTCCAGAGAATAGTTGAAGTTTTTGTAATGCGCAGAGGCGAAGTCGTCGTAGATTGTGCTCAGCTGCCCGACGCTCAAGTCGGGGTTGGACGGTACGGCATATGCAACCTCGTTGCAGAACGACAAATCCCAAATTACGGCACAATTGTTGTCTAACGAAATGGTTCAGCAAGAGGGCTCATTTTCAAACAAGGGTCAATGTTTACTTACCGGTCTTCGTGGTGAAATTCATCGCCTTCCAAACTTTCCCACCGCCGCCAACAATCCCATTTCCCGAGTCTGTCGAGTTGCCATCCATGGCCAGAATACCATAATATGACGAACTACGGTTAAGGCCAATAACGTAGAACTGTTCTTTGGGCTTGTTTCCGAGTCCACGGCTGGTCATAGACGACTGGATCGTGTCACTGCCGGGGCGGATTTGGGCCAGTTCATCGAGGGCACAGTAGGAATGTCTAAGGCCATTGATGGCGGAGTTGTTCATATTATTGGCGAACATGGTAAACGGGGGCGTGATATTCATCCATTGTTGGTAATTCGTCGAGTTTGGCAAAGACTGCGTCAAGTTATTCGTCACAAGAAGAGCGGCATCCGTGTCCGAGTCAACAAAGTAGAGAAATGAGTCCTCTGTCTCGACCCGGTGGAAGAGGGCATCAATCGAGGCCGCGATCTCGTAATTGTAACCCCCGGAATAGGCCGTTGAGTTTGAAACCGTCACTCCGATGTACACATTCCCATCAGCCTCCACAGTTGCATTGACATAACCCTCCACCATTGTATAAGAGCTCTGCAGACTGCTGTCTTTCCCAGGGCCGGGTTTTTGGAGCTCTTCGGATGTAGAAACGTAAATTTCTAGGGCCGGCAGCGCAGGGGAACTGTCTGTGGACGATGTATTGAGACTCGGTTTCGAACAGGCAGTTAAAGATATATAAACGGTAGCCGAACGCTTTGAGAGCTCGCCATTGCGCTTCTTCAGTTCCCTTCTTGAAAATTCATAGTCCACCACACGATCCGCCGAGATGTATGCCGGTAGTCCAGTCCCAGCGTCGGACTTATTGCCGTTCACTTCATCCTTGGGGAAGTAATACCATTGGGTTACCCCTAAATCGACTGTGTTTTGTTGGAACTGGTTATTGCCGATAGAGGTCACACCGGAAGGCACTCGACGTAGTAGGTCTCTAACATGAACCTCGCTGGCCGCATCATCCTGGCTTTCCCCCTCAGACCCGCGCCCAAGGACCTTTCCGTGGTGGAACGTAGATGGTACCGCAAAGAGTTCTATGCTGCCATTCTCGGGAGGTTTCTGAGGTAATTCTGCGCCATGGGCGAGATTCGGGTTTAGTACGCAAATAAGGACGAAGAGGGACAGCGTAACGTGAAGAAGCGCAGCAAAGCGAATCTGCAGGGTTGGGACTCGGAGCGATCGCATCAGAAAACTAAAGGAGAGCATATATGGTGAATCGAAAGACAACCCGATGGAGAGAATAAACCCGAGACGTCGAATGCGGCTGTCATGGGCAAAATGCAGCTGAGAGTTGCGCTCGAGGGATGCTGAAGCAAGGGAGCGCGTTACGTCGACTGAAGATGCCGGAAAGATTCGACTGTCCTTTCCACTTGCATGAGGAGGGGATGCGTCCTGTTTCAAGACAGGGTCTATCTGTAGGCCTTATTGTAGTTAGAGGAAGTGCAGAGAGGCTGTGATTACTAGTATAACCTAGCATTTTATCTGTCAAATGGAAAAAGACGCACTGCCACGCGGCCACTCATCAGCCACAGTATGCAGACTACAGCCTTGGCTTTAAAATAGAAGTAGAACTATAACCAGTCAAATTTTAGCTGAAATAAAAGGCTAATAGTATATGAAACTTTGTTGCAACATGTGGTATTGACAAAACTTCTTCTGAGAGATATAGCTACTTGAAAAGTGTGACTATATACAGTATCCACCAGCTAGACATGCGAGGTAATTGACAGACAAACACACCAACTCAAGTAAAAGCAGAGAAATGTAAAGATAACAATTAAATAAGTTTATACCAGCGGATAAGAATGCTGCTGAGGACAATGATGAAGCCGAAGAAACCCACAATGCCAAAGAACCACCCGAGGCCATCACTGTTTTTGCCTGGAACATTAACATTCATGCCAAATAGACCGCAGATCAGGTTCATGGGGACGAGAATAGTGGCAATCATGGTAACCTTGCTGAGGACTTTGTTGACATGATTACCCAAAGTGATGTTTGTCACATTGAGCTGGGCAAGGTAGTTGGCATGGGACCGGCTGAGCATTTTTTCAAAGTGCGCCAGGTTGGACATCATGGTCACGACGTGGTCCTGGATATCACCCAGGTAGAGGCCGATATCGCCGCGAGGCGTTACCGAATATTGCTCGTTGCAACGCTTGGAAAAGCCGCGGATAACGTCTGCCTTTCCGCCGAGAAGGCGCATCAAACTCATGACTTTCTTGCGCAACCCGCCGATGCGATGAAGGAAGGATTCGAAATCGTCCACACGTGCAATGAAGACATCGTCTTCGATGGCTTCCGACTCGATCTCGACCTCTCGAATGACAGGCCCAAAGCTATCGACAATGTCGTCACTAAGAGGAAAAAAAGTTAGCATATGATCATTTCTTTGGCTTTTCCCGATTTCGAAGGCTAGGTGAATGAGACTTACATCATGGCATAACAAATCCAGTCGCTGCTCAGAGATACGTAATCACGGAGTTTACCGATTCTCTTGCGCACACTGGCGGCGTGTGGGTTTTCAGTGAACGAGAAGGTAATGACCCCGTCACGGAAGACAACCATATAGCAGTTGACGGGTTCCAAGTACTGTTCGCTGGTTTTGTCCATCTGATAGAAGGTTCGGAAACAGACAAAATAGTACTGTTTGAAAAGTTCCACCTTCTCTCGCGCTTCCTGGGTCATGATATCCTCGGTTGTCAAAGGGTGGATCGAGAAAGCCCGAGAAAGCGCGCCCACCTCGTCCTCTGTGGGATTGACCACATCGAGCCACCAAACACCGCCTTCCGGACCAAGCTGGAAGAGATCACGGAAGGTATCTCCCGGGAGCACCAGATCTCCCAACTCCGCGGCATGCACGGTGCTCTGAGATTCAGAGGAGAAGAAGCTGAAGCGGGTGGGCTCATTTGCGTTTTGAAGGTTGTCCAACAATTCCTTCTCGTCAAAGATCTTTGTAGAGACCCCGTTTAATGTTTTTGTGGATTCCAGACAGTCGGTTGATGACTTGTTTAGTTTCAAGTCTTCAGCCGCCACCGAAGAGTCCGATCGGTGAGCACTAGGCCTTAGGTCGTGGAACAAGCGGGGCTGTTGGCTCTGTGAGCTGAGGCTGTGCTTGCGCCTGTTCGCGGCGGGCTTGAACTTCTTGTTGAGGGCCACAAATTCCTCCAACTCTTCATAATCAATGACAGGAATTCTGCCGGGCTCTTCGTATGGCAATGCGCAAATATCATCTGCCACGTCCAGCGGCCCAGTGCCAGCCTGTGTTCTGATCACGCTGGCATTGCTGAAGGTCGGGCGACGAGGATGGGTACCACCAGAGACAGTGCGTTGGAGAATGGTCTCGAGATCCGGAGCAGCGTGGCTCTCCAGGGTGTTTGCACGCTCGCGGCGACGAGGGTCTGCAAAGGCTTCAACCGAATTGGGAGGCGACGAGGACCGAGCCGAAGGGGATGATTCCCTGCTGAGGTTTGCGAAATCCTGTTGGGTACGGCTGCGTGTGCGGTGATTGCGTCGGTTACCCGTCGGGTCGACCGAGAAACGTCTTGCCAAAGTATTGACATCTTTCACGGAGCGGTCGTCATCGACCACGGCATGTTCAAAGTCACGGAAGATAGACCCTGCTTCGCGGAGCGCATCCTGAACGTGCAAAAGATCGGCACGCTCAGGAGATTCGGTGCTAAACGGTTGCTGAACAGTATTCTGATGGCCCGGAGAAATATCTGCCATATTGTCCCCCCGAGATGGAGGTTGGAGATGGAAGCGATGGTCATCTAACTCTGGAACAGGAGTGCTGAACCTGGTTAGGCCCAGGGTCTTTTCGGACCTGATCGACTCGGACATGGTGAATATTCACACCCGGTTCAAGGGATAAGATCACGTGTCGTTAATTATTTTGCCAGTTTGCGAGAATTGGGAGGAAAGATGCAATCTTGATGCACTTCCACGACAAGCAACCTCAAATGGTTCCAAGGATGACGAATTGTTGAACGAGCTTTTCGCAGAATCTTTCAATTATGAAATTCCACCGCTGCTTCAGCCAGACCCCTCGAAAGGGCCTGGCGTTACCGACACACGTTTGCCTTCCAATGTTTTATGTCGTATAAGCCTAGTTATGGGGGTCTGGTGTCGCCCCCGCAGAAGACCCGGAACTTTGGGCCCAGAAGAGGGTGGAGGAAAGAGGACTGGAAAAAGTGAAGGCCCGCCAACTTGACTGAGTCGAACGAAAAGGAGCGTGGTCGCTCCAGGTTGTTAGGATGGTGGGAAACGGCGAAAGAGACTTCCGGACAGAACTCTCAAGCGTGGATGCACACTGCGCAGACTTCCAGCAACGACGTTGAAAATCGGCAAGTTACACAGGGTAACGAGTTAAGGGGGGGATATTCGCAGTAGGTCTCTTGCAGAAAGCAAAAAGCAGCCCGGATGCCAAATAAACAATACGCACAAAAAGTCGACGTTGACAGGGCGTGGGTGGCGAACGACCCTTGACAAAGCCCCCGAAGGAATTTGAACGGACTAGTTCCGCAGAACAAGTAGCTGAGAGGATGAATTAAGAGACGAGAGGTCACACAAACTATCTCTTTCAAAAGAAAAAATAATATAATATGATATAATATTTTTATTTAAAAAGGGGGGTGTGAGTCCACCGTGAGTGGTGATGGAGAGGTTAATAATGGAAGGAGAAAACAAGAGGGCGCCTGGAGGTCATTTTTGTAATGATGGTGGCCGAGGGGCATCGAGCCACAGGCTTCCCCCATTCGGGAACTGAACAGCAAAAATTTCGACGGCGGCTTGCGTCGGTGGGAGCCCAGACTCATATTACGATGGCCACTGGCTAGTAGCTACGAGATAAAAGCTACGGAGTACCCATCATCCACCCTGGTCTCTGGAACTATTGCATTGCTGTTGCGCTGAGAATAATTCACTCATACAGTTACCTAGGTAGGTATTGTCAATTGCTGGATAATTAATGCCTCATGGCTTCGTGGTTGTGGTTGTCCTGGTCAGAAGTCTGTTATCTTCACGTGTGGCAGCGAGTGGTATGCGACCACCGAACTAGCTATCCTGTTCTAATAATAATACCTTTACCTCCCGTTTCAAGGAGGTCGTGTAGTGATACTAACTAGTTACCTGGTTTCTTCAATGGGGTACGCCGGAGCACTTATTATTATTACTTCAGGAATACGGAATCTACGGATGCGCTCTGCAGATTTCCCTGACATGGGTTTTGCAGTGGTCCGTCGAGAGGAGATACCGGATACTGATAGGTACTCGTAGCTACTGGTGTGCCACACAAATCCCACCTAAGGCTGCCCGACGTCGGCCATCGTTGAGGGAAGAACCAGCAAACTTAACTAGTGCCAAGAATTTTTTATCAGCTAATACAAAAGTATTTTGATAACCAAGTAAGAGTCACACCTTATGTAACTAACTACCTGCAACCTCAGCATAGGTGGTCTGGGATAGTTGCCACGACGCAGGAGCAAGGAGGGGGAATTATTCTCTCGGGATACTTATATTTCTGCTCATCTCGCTAGCAGGAGAGACCAAAGAAAAAAGGGCTCGGATCATCCACAATGACGTCCTCCTCGTTCACTATCAGAACGCCCTGCTCGTCCGCCAACATCGGCCCTGGCTTCGATGTCATTGGCCTGGCATTGTCCCTCCATCTCGAGCTTCATGTCACCATCGACGGATCCAAGTCATCATCGCAACAGCCGCTGAACTGTGCAATCACCTACGAGGACCAGAGTGGAAGCACGGAGCAGATCAGTCTTGACCCGGAGGTTAACCTGATCACCCGCGTAGCTCTTTATGTACTCAGATGCCATAACCAGCGAGCATTCCCTGTCGAAACTCGTGTTCACATTGTAAACCCAATTCCTCTGGGACGGGGTCTGGGGTCGTCGGGAACCGCCGTGGTGGCCGGTGTGGTGCTGGGGAATGAAGTAGGTCGTCTCGGGCTGAGCAAGGACCGCCTTTTGGATTACTGCTTAATGATCGGTGAGTGCCCTCTTTTAATTTTGAATTTTTACTTTTTTTTTTCGATCGGCCTTGTTTGGCTCCGGATAGTTCGGGATGCCCTGGGATTTGACGACGCCGTGACCGAGCCTTTTCGAGAATCGTACGACTGACCTCTATTGTCTGCGCCTTAGAGAGACACCCGGACAACGTTGCGGCTTCGCTGTTTGGTGGCTTCGTTGGTACATACCTGAACGAGCTGAAGCCTGAGGATGTTGCCCGCAAGGAAATTCCTCTGAGTGAAGTGCTGCCCGCACCCGCGGGTGGTGTGGACACTGGTATCAGACCGCCAGAGCCACCCCTAGGGATTGGCCACTACAGAAAGTTCGCCTGGGCCAAGGAGATTAAAGCCATCGCCATCATCCCCGACTTTGTTGTGCCGACGGCCAACGCCCGCAATGTCTTGCCTAAAACGTATACGAGAGCTGACGTTGTATGCCTCCCCTGACTGCCTTCCTGCAAGTGACCCCCTGCTAACCTCGTATAGGTCTTCAACCTCCAGCGAGCTGCTCTGCTCCCCGCGGCACTGGGAAGCTCGCCGCCAGACCCAGACATGATCTACCTTGCCATGCAGGACAAGGTTCACCAACCATATCGCCAGACCTTGATTCCGGGTTTGACGGAGATCCTGCAGTCGATGACTCCGACCACGCAGCCTGGCCTCCTGGGCATCTGTCTGTCCGGCGCCGGGCCAACCATCCTTGCCTTGGCTACCGAGAACTTCGATGAAATTGCAGCGCGTATTATTGCCCGGTTCGCCTCCAACAATATAACCTGCAAGTGGAAGCTTCTCGTGCCTGCTCAAGACGGAACAGTGGTAGAATGGCAGTAAACCACTATCAGCACATTTTGATAAATATAGAAGAAGAGATCTTAAATGTTCAGTATGACCTGCGTCTCAATAGAACCCTAGGAATCACAGCATAATTACTTCAGACTATATTTCTGGAAAGGGGGGGCAATGGCTGAATGGTCTTGATCTGCTGTCCGTCTCACCCTCATCCACACTTCGTTCACAATAGACAGTTTCCTGATTTCGATATATCTCAAGTTCCACAAGGCTGCAGCAGTTAGAAAGCATATATAAACCCGGCATTTTCCCGAGTCTAAGCAGGCCAGTTAACTAGGAGTCGATGATGACGGATTAGATGGTCTGAAGAATTGCTCTACGAGGTTCCATTGAAAGCTGACTTCTATAATACAATAATTATTTCAGCCTATCTTCCTAGTCTACAAAACAAGCTGCAATTGTTACTCCGCAGAGTAATGATTTTTTTTCTACAGTTGTTGATAAGCGTAGATCTCGCCAAGAGTTTACCCCGAACCACCACGCCTCCAATTATGAACACGTCCTTCACAAGTATGAAGTAACGCCTCCTACTGCGTACTTTCAAGACCATAAAACCTCCTTGCTAGAAGAATATCGTTTGCAAAATATGGATGACCTTCTTGCGCCAGTGCAGGACCTCCTCGAAGGACAGATCGTGCGTCATTCTGTTACTTTATCTGCCCTGTCCAGACTCCCCCATACTAATTGGATTGACGTAGGACTTCCACGGCCAGCGCATCACGGTCCGACTCAGCACAGCTCTCTTGATCATATTCAGCGTATATATACTCAAACTCAAATGATGTGGCGGGAGGGGGTTTTTTTTTTCTTTTGAACTGACAAGGACTAGGCTATCGGATTCGTCGTCGGGTATATTCAGCAGGACATTCACCTAACGCTATGGATTACACTGGCGGGAACGCTCGTCACTGCGCTCGCGGTCGTGCCGCCCTGGCCGGTCTATAATTCACATCCGGAGAAATGGTTCACACAGGGGACTGGCAAGACGAACATCGCGGGAATTGTGGTAGATGGGATCAAAGTGAAATAGAGCCGCAGAGAGTGGATTGGATGCATCGGATGACTGAGAGCCATCATGTTTCTGATATACATCTTACATTTAAGCATTTACACAAAATGATGTCTGATTTCTTTTGATTCATTCGGCTTGGCTAAACCTTTGGCGGGAGTAGGGAAAAAGGAGTCGAATCCATAATACCGTTTCATGTCGTATCTATTCTCTGAACGTCATCACTCTCGGATAAGAGACGTGGAGCTTCTTAAAACAAGCACACGAGTAGTCTGCACCGAGTTGCACCAGCCTATCGACAGGCATTCTCATGCCGACACGTAGCTCTTGACCAACTTGTGCCAGTTTACCGACCGTATTTTTGGAACTCCCAGTCTCTGTTATCCAAGGGACACACCTGACGGGTCTTCAGCCATCGGGATATGCAGTGGAAGTGGAAAGCGTGCTAAGGAACATCAGAAAAATGTCAGCGTTTACACTCTTTGAAAAAAGAATAGACAGGATGGGTGAAGACTAACATTGCAAATCCCCCATGCAACAGTGCACTCCTCCGTAGTTGACGAGCCTTGGTTTGCTTGACACTCGATACCTAAAGGTTGAATATCAGCGCTTGTGTACGCGTATCATGTTTCTGGAGGAAGCATACACAAATCCATAATATGGTTACGACAGATTGCACAGTTGTCGACGACAATGTCCCACGCCCACAACGCAACAGCATTCCACTAGTATCCAATATTATCAGTGTATGATCCAACAAGAACTAGGGTTCCCCAGTATGGCAAGGTACATACCTTCTTAACCTCGAATTTCTTCTTGTTATCGCTAGCGCCGTCAGCGGCCTTACCGGTCGACTTCGCCTTGCTCGAAGAGCCAACAGTGGCCTCCTTCATCTCTAGGTCCGCCATCCTGATCTCCACAGGCGTCTATCGAATATGCCCGGGACAGAAACGGAGTATGCTGGGAAAGGCTCTGGTGCCGCTTCGAATCAGTAAAACGAACTGACGTAACCTCGGCGGTGAAGTGGATGAATGATCACGACTGGCGGCAAGGCACTCTCAACCAGGCAACAAGGCTCATCCACGTTGGAAACGACACATAGGTCAAAACGTTGGCGCGCTAGATAGTAAGATAGAATTTATTCTTAGCTACTAACGTGTGGATGTTGGTTCTCCTCCTGCTGAACTGGCAAACAAAGATCCTGGGCACCTTGGAAGTGGCGCAGAGCCTGGGTTAGTCAGGCAACTTCCCCGCCTCACCCACCTGGTAACTAACCAGCTGCAACTGTCCCTCTCCCACATCTTCAAACAACCTCAATGGCTTCTTTACATCGCTCACCTCTACTGCTCTCCCTACACCCTCAAATCCAGTATTGGATATATCTCTTCTGAATCCCTAAGATCTTGCTTGATGTGCGCTTCCTTTGAACTTGATTGAACTAACAGCGTCTGTCTTCGTCGCTTGAATTGCCGTCCTTCCTTTTGAACGCACCACGCGCCTGGCCACACCAAGACTCACTCAGCCGCTGGGATCCCACATCTCTATTATTTATCTAGCCTTTAAAGCGCTCTTCCTTGACAGAGAACCCTCCTTATTCTTGTTTATTTTGCTTTCCTTCTTTTGATCTCTGTCTATTCTTTTCCCTATTTCCTAAACTCGACCATTCATCAGGCTGTTTATTTTTTAAGCCGAATCAATCAGAATGTCGTCTCTGTCGCCAACACCGCCGACTCCCAAGGGCTCTCGGGCTCAGAGACGTAATCAGAAACGAAACCCGACACCGTCCGTACAGAAGATCACCCCTCCTCTCAACACCCCCCCGTCATCGCCACCGAGAGACCAGAGCTCCGAGGAAACGCCAAAAGACAATGGTATCTCATCCAGGAAGAAGAATGGCGCTCGGTCCGGGAAAAAGACGCGTGATGTTTCGAAACCTTCGTCAGTGTCTCAAAACGGGCACCGACATACATCCTCACAGCCCAATGTTACAACACCTCAGATGAAGGATAGCCCGCACTACGCAGGCCCAACGTTCCATGCATCCCCTGCGCCATCTGCACTTCCTATGCCAAGTTTCTTCTCCAAATCTATGCCCGATTCCGACCTTGCGCCTACACTAGAGATGGAGAGCGATGCGTTGGAGGGAGATTCGTATTTTGAACGTACCCCCTCAAAACAAAAGCCGCGCGCTCTGCACCACGGTGAAGACGCAAAACCAACACCCTTGGATTTCTTGTTCAAAGCGGCGGTGGAGGCTCGCAAATCAGAAATTCAGACTGGCCTGGAAGCTGGTGCACAGAGTCCCCTACCTTCATATGCCGGGGCCAGAACCCCTGCATCTCAGCACAAGCCAAATGCCATCGCTGGCGGATTTCATCCATTGGAATCCATGAACCCTGAGCTGAGACAATCGCCCATAGGTCCAGCCTTTGCGACGCCTTACCGGGATCGCATGAACGCGCTGCGATCTGCCAGCTCTCCGACTCAAGCCCCGATGTACGAGGATGAGGCTCAAAGGAAAGCCAAGACCGAGGCTTTAAAAAACTTGATCTTCAACCCTCGGCCTCAGAGGCCGTCATCTGCATCGCCATTCGTTACGGAGTCGGGGACTGATACCCATGAACGCGCTGGTCATAGTGCCGGCATATCCCATTTCGCGACCCCGCTTCGCACGTCCTCAGGGCCAGCTACCCCTGTCTCCTATGGTTCCCCCTATCGTCTAAAGCAACCCAATTTCGGTACCGGATACCCTCTGCAGAATACGCTAGCTCGACCTGGCTCCAACGAATACTTCCCAGGATCATCCCTGAAACATGATATCTCCTCTCAACCCACGTATAGCCCGGAGCGGCCTGGAGGAAGACCCTTCGGCTCGCCATATACATCCAACGCTCAATCAGTCATGGCCAATCACACTGCAATGTATCCCGCGATCGCTTCTCCGGAATTTCCGCCTTCGCGAGTCATGCCGGTGAATGTGCCTCCTGCTCCCAAGGCAGTAGACACCAAACAGATCGAAGACGATTTACGACGAATCTTAAAGCTTGATGTTCGGCAAGGCGTTCAGGCTAACGGCGTTCAAAGCTCTTTGGCATAAAGTTGTCTTCACCGTCAACTTTCTCATTTTCGGCCCTTTTCAGTTTGTCTCTCTACTTTATTTCGCTTCGCGATGGCTTATACGACTGCTCTGGTGTTGATTTTCGTTACATCTTATTTCTATTTTCCGGTCATTATTACAGAGGTCGATGATGATGATGATGGGCCGGTGGAGGCTCGATTCACTTTACGTTCTCGGGGCATATGCAGCGGTGTTTGCTGCCACTGTGGCTTTTTGACACAGCTTTCTCCTGATGTTTGGAGGTTTTTTTTTCCCCTTCTGTCAAGATTCTCGATCATGACCCTCTTGCGGTTGCATTCCACCTGGAGTCTGTTGGTTTGAATGACTACTTCTGGGACTCGCATATAACATTCACTGCCTTTTCTTACTCTTTTTCACCCTCTTTTTCTCTCATATGAGGTCATCATTTGCCTGATCATTTTCCTTCCTCATTATTCCTTCTCTTCTCTTCTTTCTTTTTTGTTTATTGTATAGTCCTGTCACTAGTAAGCCTTCCCTGGCTGCTGCAGAATGTCCATTCTTTTACTCTACATAATAAAACCCCACATTCCCTGATGACTGACACCTGTGACCTGTCACTTGGTGTATCATGCTCAGTAATACAGAGTAAAACCTCTCCTCCACTACTTAAACAAAAATAGCCAAGAGTACGTAATCTAAGTAAAGAGCCAAGCCTGAGCTTGAGTATTAGTTTCATTTTACTCGCCTTGGCACGAAGGATGTCATTGGACTGCGCCTACAGGCCCAATGCATTCGGCGGATATATTAAATTATGAAGTAGGTACAGTGACTAGGTATGTAGTATGACTATGTACCTAAGTAGTAACTTTGAGTGTCAACTGTCCAGACCTTTTGCTAAGGCTTGTCTACCACCATATTGAATAGGGCTGACATCTCGACTTTCTCGCTGATGGTCGTTGTCAGTGTAATCCTGCAAGTTCATTCTTTACTTGCTTCTTCTCGATTCTGTCCTATGCAGACGCTACAGAATAGCTTTTGGCAGGCCTAGATCTCAGGGAAAAGATCCACAGTTGGTGAAGCTTCTTGTGGGATCCCTATGGAGTATAGTGAAGGCTGGCGGTGCATTCACAGGGGGAAACCACTGAGTATAGCAGTGTAGGGGGTAAATATGGAGTATATAGAGTATAGTAAGCCATAGGTGGATAGAGCAATGGTCAACAGTTGTTCACTCTTTGTATTTATAATAAATGGCTACCAGTCCAACAAGGAAAATAAATATATACTTGGCACTACAGGTTACTCTGTATAGAGCACTCTTTGTTTATAGATTTCCTATACTGACCAGTTGAACCAAGGTCACCCTATTTTCTTTTTGGCTCTAGAATGTTCAAAGGAAGACAATTAGCAGTGAAGAAGATTTCTCAACCCTCCTACCGAATTACTTAGAGGGTAATTCCTTGAAAGTTCCTACCCAGGTACTTATACCTAGGTAGCACTATAGTTATAATTAACTACCTAGGTAGGTACCTGCTGGTAGTTATACAAAAACAGTACCTGGGAGTACTCGTAATTGTAAGCGTACTGTAATGTCGGTACTAAAGTTACCGCCACAGCGCCACAGGCCGGCCGGCTGTGGAGAAACCATCAAATCAATAGGGCGGACCTGCTGGTTCCAGGCGCCTTCCCAGGGGCTGCGTTGAAAACGGATGCCAGCCGGCGGTAGAGCAGCAGCAAAACCGGTTGATCGAAACCTCGTCGTTTTTCCCAGTCGACGCGATCGAGCGTTTATACCACTGCCTTCCTCCTTCATCTTCTCCCTCACTGTCTACTCTTAGAAAGAGTGCAAGTTGAACTAGCCAACCTATCTATCCACTTTCAACTGCTCTCAATATTCACTCACCTATTCTGCTACACTCTGCCACCTCACCTCTTGATCATCAAATTCCATCCCCCCCCCCTCTCCCCCTTTTATAAATTTTCTGGACTACCTTATTAATTATCAGCGTCTCCCTGCATCTCCCTCCAATGACTGTTGCCGGTGCAGGCTGATCTTGAATAATTTATCAATCTGCACCCTGACTTGGCTTCGGTGTCCACCATGTCGAACGTGTTAGTAGTACCCCGTCCGAGAATTTGCTGCATCTCTTCCCCCAGTCTCGCTAATGTTGGTGTCGCAGCATTAACTCCGCATGGCGGTCCTTCTGGCACACCATGACCTCGAACGACCGCCACGCGTCCCATGACTCTCCGTACCGCACAGGGAGACATGTTCCCCTCAGCCAAAGTCGCCACGAGCCACTCACATCCATCGCAACGAGTGCCATCGAATCTCGCCAGGACCTGACAGATCCCTATGAAGATGGGCAGCCTAAGGCGTCGAATGGATGGGTTGGATCCCCTAGCGGAGTGAGCTCTCCTAACCGGCCCTACTCGCCCGGCATGCGGTCGCTTTCCTCGCAGATGCGGGGATCAAATGACCGGCAGGTTTCCCCCCCGGATGGAGCGGGTGAGATCCAGATGCAGAGCTTCCACGACGGTGCTCCGCCGCCGCCTCCCGTCAGCCACTCATGGAGAAAGATCGAGCGCTGGCTCGAGGAAAACTACGAAGAGCTTCTCGACAACCTGTGCGAAGGATGCACCCAGAACGACATCAATGAGCTGGAACACGAGCTCGATTGCAGTCTGCCACTAGAGGTCCGCGAGTCGCTTATGCTGCACGACGGCCAGGAGCGGGGTGGCCTGCCAACAGGCGTCTTCTTCGGCTGCATGCTTCTGGACTGCGAGGAAATCGTGCAGGAATGGAAAAACTGGAGGGTTGTGAACGACGAATTTCTCAACGCATCCGCCCTAATGAGCCAGCAGCTCCCTCCGAAGGCCGGGGCCAGCTCCTCGGCTGCGGCCTCTTCGCAGACCTCCAATCCGCTGTGGCGACAGGAGCTTCAGGAACGACAGGATTCGCAGCCCCCGGGCGCTGTCCAGAAAGCCTACGCGCACCCGAGCTGGATCCCTGTGGCCCGAGACTGGGGTGGCAACAACATCGCCATTGATCTGGCTCCGGGCCCTGCCGGCAAATGGGGGCAGGTGATCATCTTTGGCCGCGACTACGATTGCAAATACGTGATTGCTCGGTCCTGGGCAGCTTTCTTGGCAACGATGGGCGATGATATCTGCAGCGGGAAGGTGCACGTGGATGAAGAGACGAACGAGATGAAGTTGCGCGAGTTCCAGCGCCAGAACGTGGAGCCCCCTTACCTGGAGATCCTCCGCTGGAGAACAGACCAGAGATGTGGGCGGCGCCCCCCTCGACGCTCCAAGGGCCCCAATGGCCTTGGGCTCAATACGCACGCCGGCAACCGGTCTAGCCGAGACTCTCCCTACGGTAGTCCTACTCCCAGCGAGGAGCGTGGCAGATCACCCCATCGCTTCCCCAACCGTGGATCGACCCAGAGTCCCAAAACTCAATTCGGACTGTCAAGCCCCCTTGCCCGTGTGACAGAAGAGACCACTACCAGCCCTGTTAAGATGGCCACTGATGAAAGTGTGCTCAAGGAGACGATGAAGGAAAACGTCAAGAAAGATGAGGCCGAGGAGGATCTGATTCAAGTAGCTACACCCCTGGTACCAAGCTCTGGAGTCCTGGCCGACTCCGAGGAGCAGGTGGAGGAGCAGACGCCATTGAGCTCAGAAAAGACCGATGTCTCGAAGGCCGGACCGAAAGACCGCCCATCGACCACGTTGGACACGGAGATCTTGGGCGAAATGAAGAACGTTGCAATCTAGCAGAGCCCGCTTTCTCTGTGATTTTCTGGAGTTGCTCTTCACGTGCACCAGGCGTGTGCATTTCTCGGATTATGGACTGGTTGCAGGGGCGCTGGACAACCTCTTGTATAGATTTCAAATTCATTCTTTTTCGACCTGTTTTCTTTTCTTCTCTCTTTTTTCTTTTCTTTTCTTCATCTCCAACAGCCTTATACGAACCTTTGAACGGTTTCATTCTCCTTCTTCAAGGCGGCTGTATCAATTCTTTTCCCAAGGGTCCTTTTTATCCTGTTTTCTGCACCTGTAACTTTACATCAATGAGCATGCAGTATCCTTGTTCCTGTTCTTTTCCTGGCAATCCTATGTGTTACTATTCTATTTATATTGTTCAACTTATTTCCTTGGTCCATTGCAGTTAGCTCTCTGCTGGCAATGCCTTATCCGTCAACTTCTATTGATCCAAGCAGACCAGTAACACTTGTATGTAAAAGTTGCAGGTCTGACTTGGGCTAACTTGATGTAGGGTATAAATCTATTTTTCACACGGCCATTCTATACACGGTGGCAGTGCTTCGTCTATATGTCCATTCGACACTGACTTGACCTTACGCTCTTCACAGGGCATCATAGCTCTAGTCACAGATCATCTAAATCACAGCCCCAATTGAAAATATTTTTTAGGGGCAGAGAGGGGGGGTGTGAAGGCCTCCTAGTCCCAATCGTCGTCATCGTCATCGTCATGATTTCTGCTCTTCTTAAACCCCTGCCGTAACCCCCTTCGCGGGGCATCCTCGCGGCCACTCTCACCCGCATCCGAATCCGCACCACCATCATGCGAATCGTCCAGCCGAGCCTTGAGCAATATCCCCCTATGCAGCAGCCTGCGCTCAAGAGTCTTGACACTAAAAGAATCGCCCCCGTCTTTCTCTCCCGTGCCGGCGCCCAAGCCTTCGAAGCCCACGACCCGCTCGACAGCCAGCCCGTCCTTGAAGGCAATCAAATAGGGAAGCACGCGTACATTGAGCTTCTCGACCACAAAGGGGGTGTTGCGTACGTCGACGCGCACAAAGCGTACTTCATGATGTAGAGTTGCGAGGGTTCGTAGATTCTCGTCCATCACCGTGCAGCGGGCGAAATCCGGGTGCGCAAAGTGCACCACGCATTTGTGCGTCTGTGTCGTGAAGTCGAGTAGGGCCTGGTCGTTCGAGAGCGTCGGGTAGTGCGTACTTTCGAGGGTGGTGACGTTCTTGCTCCCCGTGCTGGTACTCGTCGTTGATGCGAACTCCGCATTGAGCTGCTCGAGGCGCTGGGCGCGGTACGCCGAGTCGTCTTCTTTTTCGAGCTCGGCGAAGAGCGCTTCGTCGTCAAGATCGGCCATTGTAGTAATGAATGAATAGGTCAAGGCATATATGCACTAAAAAAAAAAGGAATCATGTGGAGGAAGGAGAGTAAAGGTAATTATGACAAGTGCAATTTTGTATGGTCCTCTTCCATCCCATCAATTATCGCGGGCTTGGCGTGTCTCACGGATTTTATGCCACATAAGAGAGAAATCGTCAAGATATAACTAAAATAATCTTGAAATATGTCATATTAAAATAGACTGTTTAAGACATTAAAAATTTATATTCAAATAAAAATTAGAAACTATAACTAGTGGGTTTATAAAGTAACTGTTATTGTAGGGAATCAGTCAGTCCCTGACCCCAGATCAACCGCGCTCGTTTCCAGCCTATAATTAATCTTATATCAGCCTCTCTCTGTTTTTCCTCCTGCTTATCTTCCTTAAATCATAAAAGTTAGTTCAGCATTCCGCCTCCCCCCTATAATATAGTAGGCTGTGAAGAATTTTATTTTCTTCTCATCTGCTTAATTTCTTTCACAGCCTCTGCACATTCGTTTGTTCTTTTTGGCTGGCGCGCCCCTATCTTCTACTACAGGCAGACACGACCATTTACCTCCCCTATTCTAACCCGCTCGCCTTCGAAACTGTCGCCCACAGACATTATGGCGGAAGACAAGAAGAAGACTGATGAATATACCATTGAGATGAACAAGGTGGACCAAGGGAGTAGGACCTTTGAGGCGCCTCCTCCCTCTGCTCGGAGCCCGCCTGCGTCTGGCTCGTTTGGCAACAATCCCATCCTCCCTGTGCTGTCATACTGCGGCTCATCTATTATGATGACAGTCATGAATAAGTATGTGCTGTCAGGGGATTTTAATCTGAATTTCTTTCTGCTCTGCGTTCAGGTTAGTTATTCTGTTACTTTGTGGATAGTGGAGGAAATAAGGGCTCACCATTCTAGTCTATTGTCTGTGTGGTCACTATCCAGGTCTGCAAATCTTCAGGATTGATCACGTATCGTGATTTCAGCTCCGACGAGGCCAAGAAATGTGAGTATCTAAAATTTGGATCTTGTTAGTTAATTATGTTGGATGCTAACCAAAAGTGTAGGGTTCCCCATCACTCTTCTGTTGATTGGCATGATCTACACCGGCTCCAAGGCGCTCCAGTTCCTCTCGATTCCCGTATACACCATTTTCAAAAACCTGACCATTATCCTGATTGCCTACGGCGAGGTTCTCTGGTTTGGCGGCTCCGTCACCGGTCTCACCCTCTTCTCCTTCGGTCTCATGGTTCTGAGCTCCATCATCGCCGCCTGGGCCGATATCAAGCATGCAGTGGAAAGCAGCACAGATGCTACCGCCAAGGTCTCCACGCTGAACGCTGGTTACATCTGGATGTTGATCAACTGTCTCTGCACCTCCTCTTACGTCCTAGGGATGCGCAAGAGGATAAAGTTGACCAACTTCAAGGATTTTGATAGTATGTTCTCATTTACCCTCACAAATTATGCTTTTTGTGCAAACTAACACACCACCCAGCCATGTTCTATAACAACCTGTTGTCGATTCCTGTGCTTATTGTCTTCACTTTCTTGGTCGAAGACTGGTCTTCCACCAACATCAACCGCAACTTTCCCGAGGCGGACCGGAGCAGCATCTGGTTTGCCATGATCCTTTCTGGCCTGTCCTCCGTCTTCATCTCCTACACCTCTGCGTGGTGTGTCCGTGTCACTTCCTCCACCACCTACTCCATGGTTGGTGCGCTGAACAAACTGCCAATCGCTATCTCTGGCCTAGTCTTCTTCGATGCCCCGGTCACTTTCCCTAGCGTCTCCGCTATTGTCGTCGGCTTTGTTAGCGGTCTCGTCTATGCCGTGGCTAAAATTAAGCAGAACGCCAAGCCCAGAATTGGCGTCCTTCCGACCGCTAACCCTGTCAGCGCGAGCAGCCAGAGCCTCAGAGATGGACTTCGTTCTTAAAGTAGAGGAACAAGGAGTCTTCACGGAAAAAAAAGCGCCTTTTTAGTTTCCACACTTGGTGTGTGTATCTCGGAGATTCACATCTCTTTGTCAATCCGGCCAGCCTTCCACCAAGCTGCAGGATCATATCTCTGATATTTGATTGCCGTTAACTAGAGCCAGCTTTTTAGCTGGTGTTGATGGTACTTTTTGTACCCCATCACATTTCTAGGGCATCCTTACCTTTTCGTCTTCTGTTATCTTCTATTTTCCCTCTCGCGACTATTGCTGTTCTTTTTGGTCTGGTTCTTCCTATCTATTTTCTATCTATCTACACCTCAACCCCTGTACGTTGTCATGATATCGTGATTTGTTTCGTCTGACGGAAGGACTGACATTCCTCCTGATTCTTCATCTATACATTCTAATTGGGGGTGTGGCAGATGTTTCAAACTGCATTGCAATGAACTGGAGTATCCTGGCTGTTTGAATCATGTACATAAATGTCAAGTTAATGATAGATTGCGATTATTATTTAATACTAGAGTAAAAACCTTCTCTCCAGCAAAAGTAGGCTTGCGCGATGAACTTATCAGTTTATCGGCTGGCATATGCACCGCCACAAATTAAAGAATTATTTGCCAGACATATCACCACCCACAATATAAGCAATATTAGCTACAACAGCGAATATCGAGGGTAACCGAGTGACTAATTAAAATGGCCAAAGCCAAAAAAACGAGAGGTTCCCAGCATGGCCCTCGTGATCGCGGTGTTGCAACGGCACAACGTACCAGGAAGATGCACACGTTTGCGCGACTGAGCTCTTCATCTACAGCTACAACGCCCTCGACCAAAAAGCCTCCTACGACGACGAATAAGAAGCAGCACCGGCAGTTGCTGCATTCTCGGCCTGTCATTCCATTTAATAGGCGGGATAGGATTCTATTAGTAGGTGAGGGTAAGTTGACTATTTTATAAAAATAAAAATTTCGTCGACATGTTTTGATCTGTGATTCCTGGATGAATGAATGTACCTCCTCCCTATACTCGAACCAATCCTTGTCCTATTGTCAAGTCCAACTGTCAAAGGTTGCACCCACTTATTTCAGTTCCTACACGGATATTGTTTACGGTTTTCTTCCACGGCCACGTTGATACTGACTCTCCCAGGCGACTTTTCATTTGCGCGATCTCTGGTGCTGCATCATAAATGCAGGAACGTGCTTGCTACTTGCTACGACTCCAGGGAAACCCTGTTTAGCAAGTACCCGCAAGCAGAGGATAATATCACGGCCATCCTGGCCAAATCCAATGCGAAATCCTCATCAAAAGAAGAAGACGGAAAAGACGACACCCATGACCATGAAGACCACTCGGCACGGAAGGGGCCCAGGATGCTTTTCTCAGTCGATGCCCGCAAACTGGGCCTCACCGGCGGCGGCGGCAAAGAAGTCCGCTCGGGTCTCATGACGCGCAAGCACGCTCGACCAGCCTGGAAGCAGAACGTGCAAAACGGCAAGAGCCCCGAGGGCGGACCCTGGGATGTCATCTGCTTCAATTTCCCGCATGTGGGCGGCATCTCGACTGATGTGAACCGGCAGGTCCGCTCGAATCAGGAGCTGCTGGTGGCGTTCTTTAAAGCGTGTGTGCCTCTACTCTCGCTTGCATCTGGGGAAGACGGCGCCAGTGACGATGAAGACGACGAGGATGATTTCAGCGACTATAGTAGTAGCAGTGCAGAGTCTAGTGAGGCTGACGAGGGTAAGGGTTCCTCGAAAGCATCCTCGCCTCCTCCCAGAACGACAAAGAAGGACTCGGGCCAGATCGTGGTCACGTTGTTCGAGGGCGAACCGTATACACTCTGGAACATTAAAGACCTGGCCCGACACGCCGGTCTGCACGTCGTGACCAGCTTCAAGTTCCCATGGGCCTCTTACCGTGAGTATTCCCATGCGCGGACGCTTGGGGAGGTCGAGAGTAAACACGGTGGCAGAGGAGGCTGGAGGGGGGAGGACAGAGAGGCTCGTTCCTATGTCTTTGGAGTCAAAGGCAATATAGGAGCGGCGGGTTCCTCTGAGAAGAAGAGGCGTCGGAACCAGTCGTCAGATACTGATAGCGATTAACCTTTGGGATTGGACAAGAAGCGAAAAGTCATGATAAGCACTTCGAGTTGGGATTCATATATTGTTAACAACGACATGATGCATCCAAGGCACAGAGTAATAAATGATTGTCTGCTACATTATAAAAACCTTCTTCATTTCACCCTCATGAAATACTTCACCAGTCGTGGGGTCTTTCACTTTGCCTGCTTCAACAGACCCAAGCTTCTTGCTCATGTCAAGTAGCCGCTGTTGTCCGTATATCCGTCCATTTGGTAGAACAATCGGGTCATTTTCAAGATAACTCTTTGTATGATGCGCATATGGCATACCACGCGCCAGCTCGTTTAGTTCAGTGGAACAGATCGGGCAGACAGACGTGGCAATGGATAGAGAATTAGCACTGGGAGAACTGAATGCAGAATGGCAGGATGGTGTTTTCAGGGCAGATAAGCCCGCCTGGAGAGCAATATGTAAAAGTGGACGGGATGGAACTGAGAGCAGCTCATGATGGGTGCGGATAAAGAGATCAGCCAAGTGACTCCACCGATCAAGCGAATATAGTGACTATTATTAAAAGTATGCTTAGCCTATGTTCAGGTTTTCTTTTTTTTTAAGCAGCTGCATGCGCAGCCATTCTGGTGAGACCTACCCTGTAAGGTTCCACTATTGTGTCTTGCGGAAAAGCAAGAAGGCCAGCAGCACGATGTATCTCCACTGACTGCGTGCTGAGATAAGGCGTAAGGTACTTCTTTGCATGCATCCGGGCATCTATCAGCTTGCATTTATCGCCGACCCTGACCATCTCAATATATTGTTGTAACCGTAACTCGAATTCAAGGTTATACTTTAGACATCAGGTCAGCATAAAATAATTTGAGCATGAGGATGTTCAAAGCTACAACAGACCTGGCTCTTTTTCAGGGCCGCTTTATTCTCCCCGCACCACTGCAAAGCATCTTTGGTCTCGCCACGATGTAAATTCTCCGCAATTCCCTGGCATTGAACGAATACATTGAGGTCTACTAGATCTTCAATCCCCTTCTCTTGGGCCAGTTGTCGAGCACTCTCCGTGTGCCCGGAGCGGAGCATATGATCAGCCAGTAGCCTATCCAATCTGATTCTAGACCACATGTCATATTTGACGTCTGCTAGGCTGGGGATATTGTAGAGGCTCTCCAGATGTTGGATGCGCTTTTGCGACTGAAGATGGATTTTCTTTTCCTCTTCCTGCAGATTTTCCATTTTCCGCTTCAGGCCTTGCATTCGGGATATCATAGTATCCAAAGCAGCGAGCGTCTGTTCGGGGTTCTGTATCTCGGAAAATGAGGCATTCGTAACTTCTTTGAGTGCCGGGAGCACATATTCCTTCTCTCGTTCAACGATCCTTTGAACTGACTTGAAATTTCGACGGGCGAGTTCGTGAGGTAGTCGGAGTAGGGGTTGATCCTGGAGCAAAAGATTAGGATCTGCGTTTCTCGAAGAGGCTTTTGGGCAAGATACCAAGAGGAGGTGGTTCTCCGCATTGAGCTTGGTGGAGGTGAGCTCCGACGCCATGGTTGGTGTTTTACGAGTTCGCTTATTTGATCTATGGTAAGGTTAGTTATCAACTAGCAAGGCCCCTTCCTATTCTTAAAAAAAACACAGGGTTGATAGAGAGCTCGGAATTGGGATAGTCTTGAACTGGATGTGGAGGAGCTTGTCTTTCGGTGCCAAGAGGTACCGGAAAGATCACGACACCACCAAGGTGACGTACCATATGATCGGACTGCTTGGCGCTTCGAGGTCTATAACAATTCTAGTTATTCAATAAACCGGAGGTTTTCCATGTCCTTGAAAAAAAATCGTGGAGCATAATTCAAAACAATGTAAAATCCAGCTAATGTAAATCAAATACAAATCCCCTTTTCGACCTCAGACTCCGACGAACAAAACAAGACGGAATAGTATATTACAGGAAGCATACGCAGAAGCCATGATAAATGAGCACATACAAGTGCGGAACATTCCGAGTTAAAGCGTTCCACACTTGGATCGGGGTGAGAAAGATCTCTGCGATCAATCCCTTTACTCGTCATCATCGCTGTCCGCCTTCCCCTTTGACTTCCTCTTCTCCTTCTTCTCCTTCTTCTTCTTCTTACGCTCGGCACGCTCCTCCGGTGTCTCGCCTTCATGTCTCTTGCGTTTCTTTTCATCCTTTGACTCGTCAATGTCCATCTTTGCTGGAGAGGACGGCGTTTCGGCAGGAGGTGCAGTGTCGGCATCTTCCTTGGAATCGGTAATGGCCGCAGGCTGGGCAGGAGTTTCGTCAGAGTCCGGGGCATTGTAGTCCTTGTAGTCATTCTTCCACTTGGCCGGGGTAGCATCGTTGGCTCGGCCGTATTTCTGCGAAAAAGAAGTTAGCCAAAGCGTAGATAATTGGGAAATGCTAGCAGTTCTTACGTCAAGCTTCCCGGCAGACTTGAGTTTCTTCTTCTCCAAAGCAACAGGGCCAAGACCCCATCTGCGGGGGTACAGATCACGCTCCATAATGCAGCGCTTGACCTTAGCCACGACACCATGGTCGCAAGTCGAGAGCTCGACAGTGGACATCTGTGCGATACCAATAGCAATGGCTTCACCCTTGGTAGTCATCAAGACCACCTCTTCCCCGACTTCAATGCCAGCCTCTAGAGTGGAGAGTTAGATAATTCTCATTATAAAATAGATGATTTTCGCTTACCGAAGCGGAGTAATCCGGGAATCATAAGCTTGGCACCATAACACACCGCATTGACGGCGCTGTCCTTGACGACAATACGTTTGTACGTCGTCAACAAAGTCTCCAAAGGCTTGATGACCTTGCGCAGGTAGGTTTCATCCCGCTGGTTGTCGTACATCCACTGAGCATCCAAGACATCATGGAGGGTGACCATGCCCTCACTCTCGTCCATGGCTCCACTTCGAACACGTCTCAGCTCCTGCATGTGCGCACCGACACCGAGCAGAAGACCCAGGTGAACACAAAGGGTTCGGATGTAGGTTCCGGCCTCACAGCTGACCCAGAAAACACCGAGGTGCCTCTCATTGTCAAACTCATAAAGCTTGCTCTCATGGATGGTTCTGATACGCAGTTGACGCTTCACAGCAGAAATCAAGGGCGGGCGTTGGAAGAGAGCACCAGTCAAGGTCTCGAGGGCGCGTTTGAATTGGGCTTCGCCGCCCGGAATCTTGTCGTGGAGACGAATCACGCACACGTATTCCTTTCCTGCTCCTTGCTGGGACTTGACAAGCCGAGTCGCCCGATCAACACAGACAATCAAACAACCAGTGACTTTGGGGTCGAGGGTTCCACTGTGTCCAGTCTTTTCAACTCTGTGTTGGAAAAATAAGTTAGTCTACTTTTGGCTAATTCATTCTGATAGATAAAAGTACCTGAGAATTCTCTTCATCCAAGCCACAACCTCGTGGCTAGAAGGGTTGGAAGGCTTATCAAGGTTGATCACACCCGAGCTGATGTAGGACTTCAGGTCACGCTTGAGGGGGGTGCAACCGGCGGGAATTGGGGTGAAATGACCAGTCCGCACGAGCACTTAAAAGGTCAGATTTGTGTCCCAAGACTTGGGGGACAGAAGATTGAAACAAGGTGCAAAATTTTTTGCCCTCGTAAAGCACTCACACTTCTCGTAATTCTTAAGCAAAAGAGGCCAGTCTGATGTAGAAATGCTGGGGGCTACAGCCTCCGGCTTGATGGTGTAGTCCACATCCTCATTAGCTCCGGTGGCCGCCATCTCTGACAATCTATTGTTATATTAACAATTATTGAGATAAGTCTCTTTAGTATATTAACAATTGAAAGGGTAAGACTTACCCTCGCTGGGCGGTAATTGCTGCGAAAAATTGCTGAAAGAAAATTGCGTCCGGCAGCGAGAAAGTTTGCTGGAGAGGAAATTTTGAAGTGCGCCAAGTTCTACCAGCTCCATCCACAAATCAGGCTAGCATGTCTAGCCACTTGCTCCACTCTACAAATATTAACTAAAACCAAACTAGTTAGTTCAGTACCTAGGTAGTATTGAAGAGTAGGTAGGTTAGTAGTTATGTATCTTTCCTTCTATTCATTCACAAATTATTATCACGATTATTGATGTATTAAACTATTGTTACATCTTAAAAAATCGAGTATCTTGAAATGGGACCATTTTATGACCTTCGAAGATCTCTCGGAGATCATAGCTGCTCCTATCAACCACTACCTAGTCTGCGACCGGCTCCTCTGCTATTCCAACGACCAGAAAAGGACGAGCTCCAACCTCCAGATGGCTGTTGAGTCGTCGACTGTCCTCTGTTGGTATTCGGCGCTGTGGCGTGAGTCCCGTTGGAAGAAGAGAGGAACAATCCCCTCACCAAGGCCGGTGTAGTAATATAGTTCCTACCCGAACCATAAGACGGATAGAGCTGTGTCAAAAATTCATACAAATGACCAGCAGCAAGACCGGTAGACAGGACGAGAGCGGAATACCACGAACGGGTTATGGGGGCGAGAGCAATAGTTGCCCATGGAACAACCTCAACACGCATAGGAAGAACTATGAAGGTCACCTTCCGACCCCGGTTGATCTGCCCGTAAGTGTACGAAAAAGCCACGAGTAGAGCTACGCGAAATCAATATTTTTTGCAACAGCGTGGGTGAGAAAAGGCTAGCTTACCCGGCAAAAGAATGGGGGCTTTCATCAAAAATCCTGCGGTGAACTTCCAGCCTGTCAGCCAAGTCGAGAATATCTATGAATATCATCCAAGGGGGTATGAAAGGCAATTATTATAATAAGAACAGAAATCGTTGTTGATATTGGATATACATATATAGATAAATAGGATGTAGGGCACCATAACCGCCACATGTGAACTTATTTATCACATGTAGCTATCTCAAGGTATTCCCACCAATCCTGCACCGCACAACAGTTCGAAAGGATATTTGCGAATGAGAACTGCGCGAGATGCAGGGGTGATCTTCCTCGCTTCCAGGAACCGCTTCAGCTAGAAAAAAGGCTGGGCGGGCAGATATGCGAGGTGGTTTGGATGGGGCAATGGGATCAGACATAAAAGGGAAGATTCGAATTGGGATTAGGGAATAATTGTGTTGAGATTGTATCCTTATAATTGCCTCCAGGCTTGAACCAGACTTGAAATGGTCATGACTTACCAGGACGAAAATGCCTACAACGAACACATATGTCAAGAAGTCACCAGGTGCAGAGAAGCGAGAAGAATCCCTTTCGAGGGCGACCCCGTAGAAATATACTGTTCACACGTTAGTATGCTCGTCAGCAAAGACTGACACTGTTGCATACAGAAATAGAGGTCGAAGATGAACGAGATATTAGGCTCTGTCAGGACAAAGGGTGTAAAAATCCTCCAGATTTGAGGAGGAAATTTCAGGATGAGTTCTGAAACAAACACCGAGTGCCAACCTGGAACCAGGTTGACATGTACCAGAGTAGACTGGATGAAGGTGAGTATGAAAAGTACCCTAAGCATCCTTTGTTAGTGTGTATGCTCCAGAAGAATAGTCTTCATCATGACTTTATTATCCTGCATGGCTCGAGAGATAAAATACCTCGTGACAGGAGGAAAAGACTTGATGAAGGACACAGCTTCCATTGCAAAGGCTCTCTAGAAAGGCAAAAACGTGCTATTTCATCTAATAGCAGTGGTTGCTGTCATGTATTGGAAGTTGAGGAAGCTGGTGAAATTCTGTGTGCTGATATTAAGGAGAGAAGAAAGAAGAATTAATTTGTGCATGTTTTTAAATTCGACTCTTCCGAAACGTTTTTCCGATTCCAGTCCTATTGACCCACTGACTTACGCTAATACGCTGTAGGGATGTAGAAATTTCACTTTTTTTTTTTAATTTCAGAAATTTGAAATTTCAGCCCCAAATTATATTTTATTTAAAATTTTAGAGGGGTTCAACTGGGCTCTACTATATCTAGTTAGAGAGTAATCTAGACTAATTAAACCCTAGGGATCAGGGATTCTGCCTTACTTTTAGTAAAAAAGTAAAATCATCTAGTAACTATATTAAAATATATAATTAATCCCTTATTTATATATTTTTAAGATATTAAAATAGGATAAACTTTAAATTTTATTAGTGCTTAATAATTCTTTAAGGTTAATAAAGTCTTTATAAAGCATCTAGGTGCTCTAGGGGTATAAAATTATATAGAAATATTAACCTTTATTATTTTTTACTAATTTTAAGGTATTAGATAGTAGATAGAGCCATCTATTATAGATGTTAAAAAAATATTATCTTTAATACTATATACCTTTATAACTATATTAATAAATACTCTTATACCCTAGAGATTCTAGGCCATAAAAGCACTAAGAAAGAAAAGATATAAAAGAAGTTAAGCTTTTAAATAACTTTTAAGTAATAGCTTAACCTACTTACTACTAATATTATCTTTTCTAAAGTATAACCTTTCTATCTTTTTAAATCCTTAGAGATATAGAATTTTCTTTAAGGCTTAAATCTCTTCTATAACTCTCTTACTTATTAATAAATTACTAATATTCTCCTAGAAATATATATAAGAGTAAAGTAGAGAGTATATTAAGAGTTATAAAGGATTAAGCATCTTAATATTATAATAGATAAGATTATAAATATCTTATTTTAATATATTATAGTAATAATTATAATAATACTTATATACTCTTAGTTTCTATATTTATAGAATATAAAGGATTAAACTCTTAATTCTAATATAATCTATAAATAGATTATAGAAAAACTTAAAGAGCTTCTTTAAGAACTCTCTATAGATAGTTCTATTAATTAGAAATAAATAAATTTTATATTAATAGATATTTATAGTATTATAAGAGCTGTCTAGAGAAAGCTAGAGAAAAAACTAAAGCTTTAATATATATTTATAATCTCTTATAACTCTTATAGCTTATAGTTTATTATAAAGGATCTTCTTAATTTTAATAATTTAAAGCTTCCTCTTATTAAAGAGATTTTTAAAGTTATAAATAAAGTTGTTAGCTTTTTTTATAAATTACTACTTAAATATATAAAGATATAAGCTTATTAAATCTAAAGATGAGGGCAAAAGAGAGCTCTTATTACCTTAATTATTATATATTAGGAAACTTAATATTCTCTTCTTAAATCTCTCTAGAAATCTTATAAGGTAATTAGAGATTAGGCTTTAACTATAAAAATAAAGAATCTATGCGCCTAGAAGATAATTAAGTTTATCTAGTCTTATTTATTTTAGGGGCAACTAGATAATCTAATTAATATTCTTTATTCTCTCTATTATATATAAAAAGATTTAGAAGCTTAAAATTCTAGTGTTATATAAATAACTTAAAGATAAATATCTTTAGAAAAGAGGATAATAGAAATCTTAGCTTATATCTTATTTAAAGATAAGATCTATAATTATCTTTAAGGTAAAGGCTAAAAATCTTAAGTATAAAATTAACTAATAGATATCTATTAGATAGTATATTATCTTTATCCTCTATATATATCTAAGAAGATTTAACCCTATAACCTTAAGAGAATTAAGAAGCTTTTATAGCCTCTTTAGGATAAGAAGTTATAGACATCTATATAGTATTAATTTCTTATATTTAAGAATTAGAATAGCATCTTTTATAATATATCTTATTAGAGAGAAAAAGAAGATCTTAATATCTTCTAGCTTAAAGTAGTAAGTTAAATAGCTTTAAATTAGAATAAATACTAATATCTCTTTTTTTTTAGGCTATATAAGCCCCTCTCCTCTCCTTTATATAATTAGACTCTTTAATACTATTATTAACTCTATAGCTACTAAATAAGCCTTTTTATTTATAAATTTATAATATATTAAGCTTTAGAATTACCTTATAAATAGCTCTATAGATATACTTCTTTTTATATAAATTAATTAGAAGTAATTCTATGTAGAGAAGCTATTTAAACCTATAATTAAGATAGATCTAGAGGAGGAGGTGAAGGAGATATAATATATTCTTTAATAAGAGTAGTTATAAGATAATTTAGATTAGATATCTAAGATATCTAGCTCTAAATGGCCCTATAAATAGGACTAAGATAATATTGTGATATCGCGAGCGAGCGATATCGCGAACTCCCGCGCGGCCATGAGCGGGATCACCTCGGCAGAACGCCAAGGTGCCCGCTCACCGACGACGCGAAATCTCCTGACCCTGGTGGAGCAGTTATGTAGAGTTTTCGCTCCATACCAGGGATTAATTAATTCTATAGAGTTCTATCACCACCGGGTCGCTCAGCTTTTGATGAGTTAAGGGGAGGTATATAGATACCTTCCCTCTGACCCATGGTAGCGATAGAATAGAGATTTCGGAGAGACCATTAGCTTTCGAATATCACATCTAGTAGTATGTTATGTTAGGGGTTAGCCCCTATGCTAACCCTGACAGACTGCCGCTCCGCAGATAACATCTGAGGATCAATAAGATTTAAAAGCAGGATAAAAGGGATGAAAGACCCCTTAAGTAAAGAAAGAAGAATCATTAAGCATCTTTGCTGAAGAAACTAAGTGAACGAAAGACTTAATCTTTTACTATAAGTTAATAATAAACCTTATTGGTAATATGCAGAACCACCTATCACCCGAGGCGTTTAAAATCCTCTCAGCAATTATAACCGCTGAGACAGATAAGATAGATGTTCGCCCCCTTCTTAGACGCCTAGAGCAAGTGCTCTAAGGTGAAAGAGGCTAAGTAAATCACCTGGTCCAGGAACTTAAGACCGCCCGCGCGCAGGTGGCTTAACTCTAGGATAACCTTTGTTAAGCGACTGCTGGGCAGCCAGGTCCCCAGAATAATATCTAAGCAGCCGCTGGGGAAACTGGCCATTAGGAGTTAACTAATAATCCTAATAATTAAGGTAGACACCCCTACTAAAAGATCTTAAAACTTAACTAGATCCCTAAATATATAGGCGAATATCAAGATGAGGGCGCCCAAAAATGGCTGCAGTAAGTGGACAAATACTTTTAAGATAAAGAAGTCTTATATAAGAAGTTCGCCACTGATAAAGAGAAAGTCTTAGTGGCGAAATAGAAACTCGATGGCGAGGCGCGCAAATGATGAAGGCATCTATAGAGCTCTATCAATAACAAGCTCCGCGCCCCCATCGAAACCATGGCGGAATTCAAGAAGTAGATTACCGATAACTATACTAAACACCTTAGTGAGGAACACCGCTAGGAGGCGTATAAGAGTCTCACCCAAGAAAAGCAACCCATTTAGGTGTACGCCCATAAACTGGTGAAAGTCGCAAACCAGATTAACCCCCCACTAGCGGAGAACATACTCATCCGACGATTCGTCATGGGCAGCCGAAAACAACTCTAAGGGTGGTGGGCACATAAATCTAATAAACTAACCACTTTAGCTAGGGTTATCACAAAATTCGCCCTCTATAAGAAAGGGGTTATCACCACATAACATGTCTATAGGCCAACAGGAGCGCCAGATGCCATAGATATTAACACCCTAGGGCAACTATATGCCCTGCCCGGGAGGCCTACCCCCACAAATAGATATATGCCGCACCCCCAATAATTAATTGCTAGCGCGAGAGGACTCTATTTTGCATGCAGGAAACCCAGACATTATATAAAGGATTATTAACTAAGTAAAATCCTAATAATAACCCCCTTAATAAAGGCCCTAAGGGAGGGAAATAGAGTCGACCACTAGAACCAGAAGCGCTGGCGGCGCAAATGCTTAAGGCTTCTATAGTCCCCAACATTAACCTCCCCGATGTCCTGGACCCCCAGGGATTACCACCCCCATAAGGAGACAAAAAGTAAAAAATATAAAAAAGGAAGCACAAACTAATAACCTAAATAATACTAGCATAAATAAATGCGCTAGGCAGAGGGCTACTAATCTTTAGAGGAGAGATCAGCACTAGGGAATAAAGGAAATTAAAGATTAAATATATAATCGACAGCGGAGCCTCTAACAACTTTATAAGTAGCAGAATACTTTAAAAACTCACCTATACCTCACCCTAATAGATTAATAAGGGCACTCAGCTAGATGTAATACTGCCAAATGGTGATTATATCCTAGCCATACACTAAGTACGCCTCCCGCTACGCCTCGGCAGATAGATAAGAATAACCCCCACCTAGGTTATCAACAACCTTAAATATAACGTCATCTTAGGATAGATATGGCTAAAAGCTACTGACCCCATTATTAAATAGTTAAAATTAAGGATAATTCTCCAGGACCACTAAGGCGAACAGTTCTCTATGCTCTTAAAGGATATTAAATGACAAGTCGCGATCATGCCCTATATTAATATAATCTCAGCACGATGTACGCTACACATGCTGCGTAAGGCGAAATTAAAAGGCGTTCTCTATTTTCTTTAATAAACTACTAAGCTCCCAGACGGGCGCAAGCCATATATAAATCTTAAGGTAGAGGCAGTCCTCTAGAAGTATAATATCTTCTACTAAGAACTCACAGCGGCCCTCCCGCCTAAATAAGATATTATATACAATATTAATATGGGCGACGCCACGCCCGTCAATATTAGCCCTTTCTCCCTCTTATAAGAAAAGCTTAAGGAGCTAATTTAATAACTAGAGGACCTAAAGTAGAAGGGGCTTATCTAACCCTCCGCCAGTCCCTAGGGCTTCCTAGTGGTATTTATCTAAAAAGTGATAAGAGAGTAGTGAATAT